AGTGAGATGCAAGACAATAAAGTACATAAATGACCTGTGGCTTTCAGTTTTGCTCTCGGAATTCAATTAACGTTTGAATTCAATTAAATTCCGAATCAAACGCATTGAATTCTGAATTAATTCGGAATTCAATGCGTTTGTTAATTTTTATTGCCACATCAGCAATAAACCTTTTGTGTGTTATCCTGGTTGTAGGAAACATACAGCGTGAATCCAACTACCCAGTTTGTGAATTAACGACTCCAATGTGCGAGATCCGCATTGAAGTCTTTAACATCACACACCTCCCAAAGAAACAAACCTAAAGAGACTTCCAACGTTATAGACCAATGGCAGTTTAACAACTCTGCTCTGACGAGAAAACTTTCATTTCCCCGTTATCAACGTGAAGCTGCTGTGAAACAATCTGGGCTATATAAATAAAGGTGATGACTAAACCTGTTTTTCATTTTAGCTTAAAAGACTTCAAACAATATACAGACTAGATGTGATATGTAGTTAGACACACTTTAGGATTTTTGTTGTGAAAAGCTACATTTTAAAAAAGTTGGAATAGTTGCCTATAATATAAAAATACCATGTACGGCAGAACAGTTAGATTCCCAACCGTAGTAGAAAACAGTCCTTGTTTCATAAACACTCGATGCATGAAAACTAAAAATTTACCTCCTTAGGGTCAGGCACTTCCAGCTTTGTTTCAGATGGTGCTTTGATCGCTATGACGGTTTGGTCTTTTAGGCTCTTTATTCTTCGGATGTCTTGATAGGTCACATAGGCATATGTGAGAAAGGTTAAGGACAAAACAAGCAAATACTAAGTCTAAATGATGTTCATTCATGTTTATTTCCAGCTGTGACTAGTAGTAAAGAGCAGAGGTGATCAGTTCAGAACTTGAAAGCTGACAATTTGCTTCAAATTTAAAGTAACAAAGCTTACTGCAATTTATCGAATGGGAGGTGCACTACAGTTAAGTTTTGTTTAACTGACAACAATAGGCTTTAAGATTCAATCTTGCAATTTAAGAATTGATTTTGGTTTTAAAATTAAAATCTATTCAAATCGAGAAGACAATATTTTAACCCAGCCCTACAACTAATGCCTGCTACAGACTGTGATTTCAGCAATCCTAGAAGATCCTTACAAATCACACTGTACAACATGGATCTACTAGAATGTCGTAGGACCACCGTTTTCAGGTTCCATCTTTCATCCAGGCTTAGATTCCTACTCGTGCTCTCCTTTTCTGGCCTTCAGTTCAGACAGAACAGCTAACTGCTTGTGAAGGATATTTCTGACTGTGGATCTCCTCGGTCATCTGCTGGACGTTTCGTGTGCAGGTCTGAATGAGCTCATCCAGGCGTCTCTCCTCCTGAGTGAGCGCCAGCATCTCTCTGGCGAGGTTGTGACTCTGCAACGCTGGAGACGGAAGACCACCTTCTGACGGTAGACTGGAGCCGCTGAAAACGCCACAGCAGAAGTCAACACTTCAAATCCACACAGGCTTAAATCTACTAAAACTTCCAAACCTATCAGTGTTAACATATGAACCACAATTTAAAGTAACCCACAGCCATTGTATGTTGTTCTTAGACTTTTTCTTAATGAGGCGCACTCCCTCCAGCACGTTGGTGATGTCATACAGACGTCTCTTCTGGACGTTGAGCACAATGGCAGCTTTATTGAGATCCAGCACTCCATCGGAGGATTGCGCCAGAAGCTGACAGAACTTTTTAGTCAGAAAGCCTAAGGATGTGTCGTATCGAGTCTTTTCCGGTGGGGTTTTAGGGGCTGAAATGCAAGAGGTCATTCAATCATTCATAACTCTGCGGCAGAAGGAAGCAGGGCTGTTTGGTGATGAAATCAGGTGGTATAATTTAATATTGGTGACTTTACACACTTATCACATGAGCTAAACTGTGGAATGACAGAATGAATTTAATACCTTTGGGGACTTTCAGTTTAAGGGCTCCTTTACGACTCCGAAAGGTTTTAGCTGGCTCGCTGTATTGGTGGTCTGTGATGTCAAGCTCCAATCTCCTTTTAGCCTGTGTCAAGTATAAAAGAAAAAACGAACATGAAAAACAAGACAAAAAAACATTTTTAGTCATGCGTGTGTGAATTTGTCAGGGTTACTAGACTATTATTTGAATAGTATAAGACTACTGTTATTACATTAAATTTGAATAGCATCCAAAACTAACTTTTACTCCATTCAATGTGCGCAATCAATAGAAAATGTACGAGTACATCAAATCTAACACTTGTTTAGACAAGTTGGGGGACAATAAATCTCAAAAATGGTCTGTCAACATATTGTCGATTACCATTAAAATGTACATTTTTCTCAAGACTAACAGCTTGCGTGTCCCTAAAAGAGCATCTTCAGCAGAGTGAACAGGCTCAGATACATCTGAAACAAGCAGATATTGGTTTTTCATTTGAATACCACTTCAAAAATCTGGGGACAAATTAAAATGGCTGTCCTCCATTACCTAAGCCTTAAACTCGGTGACCACTGAGAAACTTAGAAAGGACCAATGACACTTTAGTTAATAATAGACGCAGTGAATATCTATTTATGCATTTTGCATGTTGAAGAAATACTGCTGTCATCACTACATGATAAACAAGAAATATATTTGATGTCATAGAAAGTACTCTTCTTAAGTGCTGCATAAACAATTAAAATACAAGGTATAAGGTCCTACATAACATTGGAGATTCTAATAGTATGTTATTTAGTATCAAATATGTAATTTTATGATTAATAAATACCATATAATTTGATTTATTCTTGCATGAAGTTATTTTGTTAGGCCTGTTGATGTTCATTCATCTTAATTTATTAGTCCATCCTCGTAGTTCACTTCAGTTGAGCATTTGTCGTTTATAATTTCAAAATAAAGGAGATGTTAAGCTCGAAAAAGTTGTTGTATTGTTCCAGAAATCTATAAAACACTTATAAAACAAAAGTTTGATGTCTCAATAAGCCGTTTAACTCTGGGTAACATGAACACAAGCGACCTCACGTATGAAAAATTACTTTATAAGCAAATGCCAGTCAGGAGTTTTTGTAGTAAATCACGATAAAAACAACAGTTAGCAAAGCATTCGGCTTAGCACAGTCCGCGAGCTCAGAGATGACTCCATCCCCCATCCTAAGACAACAAACCTGGGCCTAGACCTCACTATTTCAAGCTTTTGCGAGGAAAGGAGACTCTTATGAGATCATATCTATTCGAAATCAAATTATATACGGTCTATATCCGACCCATTTAGAAGTATTCACAAAAGCAACCCCCGAGCTTTCGAATAAAACTTTAAATGACGTGCAACTTGACAAGCAATCGAATTACAAATACTACAGTACTGCTATTTGAAGTTAAACAACACCATAATGCATTGCAGCATCTTGTTAAGCACGATTATAGTCGTATTAACAGTTTACAGTTAGTTACATCGTGACTACATTGCGGAAATGTGCATGTGTATGTTTGTGGTAAACCATCATCATGCGTCATTACGCATTTTTAGGGGACATTCAGTAAAGTTCTTAATTTAGTTAAATATCGTAAGCGTGCTAATTAGTTGTGCACAATAAACATGCTTACTCTCCGAACACTGAATGCACATAACGCAGCTCTAGCAGTAGCCATGATGACAGCAGAAGTAGGCTAAGTGGACTTAGCCTAACGACTTAACATTTGCAGGATTGAATGTGTAAGTTAACACTTTGGCAGAATTAAAGTAGACATTTACCGGTGGTCGTCCTAGTGTGGGTCGCAGTCCTGTCCCATGTGTCGCTCCTTGTAGAGGAGTTGTGTACAAACTGTCAGCAGAAGCCTCAGGCACACAGACATTATTAGTGGACGGCGGTGTGTTTATCTGTATACGGGCTGCTGCATTGGAATAAGCTCCACATCGTCGATCGGAAACCGCACTAAAAACACCGTGCTGTTCGCCTCTAACAACCCCTGTTAACATAATTTGTCCTGGGACCGAAGAACCCCCCTTTCTCATGATCCTCAGAAGCGCAGGTTCCCTTTGTCCCACTTGTGATTAGAGGCTCTTTTTCGATCAAATCCGAGCGAGTGGCTTTAAAATAATCATAAATGATGAAAGCGCACAGTCTTAGGAATGCATAGCTGTAATATGAGTGAGATTGCTAAATCCTAAAACACCCGATGTTAGCGATTAAAATGCGATGCAAACTCCCTCTCGCTAGAGCGAAAAATGGCTCCAGGAAGCGGACAATGAAGTAGGGGATGAGGTTTACGCGCGAAAGGTCCTCCCGCGAAACTCGGATTTCCCGGGAAATATTTGAATCATATTTGCATATGCGCGGTGATTCGCCAGCTCCGTTCTGTTTTCCGCCCGTAAGTGCTGACGTGCGGTATAGTGGAGCCAATGAAAGTGCACAATGGCGTTTGTTTTAATACACTGGTTTGTCCTACGGTGGCGCTAGATATGCGACACTGGACAAATGGAAAAACACATGGCTAAAATGGTAACAGACAGATTTCGATATCCATTAACTTTAAACAAAAATGAGTCTTGCTATTTAAAACGATATATTTTTAAATTAATATAAATATATTTCTATATAATAAAATAAATATTAACTGTTTTTATTAAAGTAAACTTGTTTTATTTTAGGTATATAATACAGCATAAATTTCAATTTATAATGCTCCAACTAAAATTGAAATAAAAGAATGACAGAACCATAACAAAATCACTAAAACTTAAATGGAACATTAAAATAACTACCACTACCAAAGATTAACAAATACTATAAAATACTAAATAACACTTTATTTCAAGTACTTTATTATATGTGTCCACAGTTTAAAAAAACTAGCCTATGGAAAGACATATCGCAAGTTCTGAAATACAACAGGCAAAAGTTATCAAATAGTCCATATTTTGTACCAATGAGGACTTAATGGGAAATAAATGGGATACATCACAGGAAATTCACAGTGGCTTTTTTAAAAAAAAAAATAGCGCTTCATTGTAAAGAAACAAATAACAATTGTGTTTTATGTCTGTGTTTTAATACAAATTCTCACTAAATATATTAATTAACAGGAAGAATTATAATCAAAACACGAAAGCACTGACATTTCTTAATCATCATCATCAAATCGGATCTTTTTCCCTTGGAATGCTGTGATTTGTGCCTGCTGTTCTTTTCTTTTCCTGCTAGCCTCCCATGAGGGATGAAGGGACTGCTGGGGTTGATTTGACATGTTTCCAGGTTGATTCTGGTTCTGATACTGCTCGAACTGTGACCTTCCCCTCCCTGCCCCTGACGGTCCCGCTTGTCTTTGTCCAGCAACCTTAAAAGTCTGTCTGTTAGGTTTGAAAGCGCCATGGTCTTGGCCTTTATATTGAGGTGTTTTCATCCTACTCTCAAGACCTTTCCCCTGCTTCTGGAATCGAGGAGGTATTGACCCGTCATTGTGAGACGGAGACCCATACTTTGCTTTCTGAGAGGAGACGGTGGATTTGGACAAAGTTGAGCAAAACACAGACTCAAATTTTTCAAGTTTTGTCTCGTGAGGTTTGCTGGTGGCCTCCTTGTCTGGTATTTGAAGCTCACTCTTTTTCTCCTCGACTTTACTTTGGTTACTTTTCCGTTTCTTGAATTTGCTCACTTTGCCCAGGAAAAAGTCGTCATCTTCACTGTCTTCAGACTGAGACGATTGCTTACGGAAACGTTCTTCTGTGCTGTCATCAAAATATTCCTTCTCTTCCTCCGACTCATCATCTGATAAATCGCTCTCTTCATCAGTCTCAGGTAGGTCTTGTTTCTTTTGTGACATTAAGGTGATCTCCATTGCTTTGTCTGCTTTATCAACGTTCTTCGGTGGAGTAGACTTTGTACTGCTCACAGTTGAAGACTTTTTAGGAGAACTTTGGACATTTGGAGCCGTGGTGGCCTCTGCATTCTGTGATTTAACTTCGACCCCTCTGGAGTTTTCTGAAGGTGTTGTGATGATCTTGGATGGTGGTAATTCTTTACTCTCAGTTGGCTCTACAACACCAGACTTATGGATCTCAGTGGAAAAACTCTTCAATGTTTCCTCTACTACTTTACTAACGTTCTTCGGCGGAGTAGACTTTGTACTGCTTACAGTTGAAGACTTTTCAGGAGAAATTTGGACATTTGGAGCCATGACTTCTATATTCTGAGAGTCAACTTGGACCCCTTTGGAGTTTTCTGAAGGTGTTGTGATGATCTTGGATGGTGGTAATTCAAAAGCATCAGGGTCTTTACTCTCGGTTGGCTCTATAAAACCAGACTTATTGATCTCAGTGGAAAAACTCTTAGATTTTTCCTCTACTACGTCACCTTTGTCGTCATCCTCTTGTTCCTTATCTTCATTTTTGGACTGCAGCATGTCCCGTCTGTCAGCGTTTCTCTGCTCAGCTTTCGCAGCTTTAGCTCTTTCTTCTTCAATGGCATCTTTGACCTTCTGGAGCTTGTTGATGAAGCGGGAATGTGTGATGATGCGTGCGATGGCTCTGTCCAGTGGGTTTGCCTGAGGGTCCTGTAAAATCTTCTCAAGCTCAGCGTTCTCCTGAAGTGCCGTTATGGTCACCTGATCTGGTTTAAGACTCCTTAAAGCCTGGATTTCTTTCAGGATTCCAGCCGCTTTCTCTTGGCTTTCCTTCTCCTCGGTTTCCTGATCCTTCTTCTTCTTCAGAGCAGCCACTTGCTCAGCCATTTTACTGATGATCAGCACCCTCGTCCTCTTCACTTCCTTCCTCATCCTGATCACCTCTATTGGGACGGCCACTGTTTCAGATGAGTCCTGTAAGAGGGATTTTATTTTCAGAATAATCGTCATGTAAAGAGTTTGCTGTAAGAGTCTAAATCTTGAAGAAAAGCATGATGTTAAAAGGAATAGTTTATCTAAAAAGGAATATTCTGTCATTATTTACTCATTTTCATTCCAAACTTATAAGCTATTGTTTTTCAGTGGAACACAAAATTGTATTTTTGAAAGTATGTACATCAGTTTTGGGGTCACGGTTCTTTAAGCTTTACCATTTCACTACAGTAGGGAGAATCCGTTCTAAAATTATTTATTTTAGAAAGACAGCAGCTGCAAAAATGAGTATTGTAAAGGTACACAGTGCATTTACTCAACAAGAATTTTTAAGAAGCAAGGATGTTGAAACTCTTTTTTTATTATATTTTATTACTCCAGTCTTCAGTGTCACATGATCCTCAGAAATCATTTTAATATGCTGATTTGCTGTTTAATATGTTTATGGAAACCATTTGCAACATGACATCATGACTTTTGCGTAAAAATATAGCTCATAATATATTATATTTTTTCTTTTAAGTACCCTGTAGTTTTTTGTTTTGTTTTTTTTTTTATAGCTAGACCAACTATTTTAACTGCACTGAATGTAATCTAAAAAAAATTGAAGCAACACCTTTTAAAATCACACTAACCTCAACTGTTAATGTTTCTTCCTTCTGGCATGGATTGGCCTGTTCTTTTAATGTCTCCAGACTCGTCTTCTGGCTCTCTTGTGGCTCATCAGTGTTTTTGTCCCCCTTCTCCTCTGTCAGTTTCTCATTATCTTCGTTTGATTTCTCTAAATCAACATCCTCTGCTTGTGGCTGATCTTGTGACGTGACACTTTCTGCATTGTCTTTTCCATGTTTTACTGCTTTTCTTGCATTAATTCTCTCATCTTTGAAAGCTTTGATGGCTGCTTTTATGCTCTGAATTCTCTTGCTGAACTGTGGATGTGTGGCGATGCGGGCCGTGGCCCGCTCAGATAGGCTGGCCTCTTTGTTTCGGCACACTTTTTCAAAGCTGATGTCCTTTTGTAAGGCGGCCTTGGTGACGCTGTCAGGCACAACAACTTTCAGCTCATGGATCTCCTCCCGAAGCCTCGCCGCTCGCCTGCGGAACTTCTCCACGTCTGCCTCATTTCCTTTCTTCTTCTCCAGGGCTGAGATCTGACGGGCGAGTTTCCGAATGAGGAGCACCTTCACCCTTTTAACTTCCGGCCTCATCTTGACCACCTCATTACTGAGGTTCAGTACCGCTGGCATCTTTATGTACTTTCTGAAAGCTGGAATGAGAAAAGCAACAGGTAGTGTACGCATGCTAATGAAATGTGATTTTTGTTTTTGATATCATGAAGTTATGTGATCTCAACATTTAAATTTTAGTCGTTACTTGCTTACAGACATTAGGTCCTGTTGCATAAAAATACTACACTGTACATGACAAGTATGGAAACATCACTATTTTTTGTTTTTGAAAGAAGTCTCTTAAGCTCATCAACATAAAGTCTGCATTTATTTGATCAAAAGTACAGAAAAACAATATAATAACTTAAAAATATGCTGAAATATTATTACAATTTAAAATAATTGTTTTCTATTTTAATATAGTTTTAAAAAATAATTGATTTCTGTGATGCAAAGCTGAATTTACATCAGCCATTACTCTATTCTTAAGTGACACATGATCATTCAGAAATCATTTTCTTGAAAATGAGATGTTGCATCTCAAGGGGCTATTCATTAATAAATTGAATTGAACATTTTAATATGCAGATTTTGATATTCATAAGTTATTATCAATGTTGGAAACAATAGTGCTGCGTAATATTTTGTTGGAACCAGTGATACCTTTCAGGATTTCACTTTTTATTAAATTAACACATTCTTGCTGAATAAAAGTTTTCAAATTTTCTTTCAAAAAAAGAATGAAAAAATATTACTGACCCCAAACTTTTAAACAGTAGTGTATTGTTACAAAAGAATTCTATTTTAAATAAATGCTGTCCTTTTGAACTTTTTATTAATCAAAGAATCCTGAAAAAAGTATCCCATGTTTTTAAAAAATATTAAGCTGCATAACTCTTTCCAACATTGATAATTAATCAGCATGATTTCTGAAGGATCATGTGCCACTGAAGACTGGAGTATTGGCTGATGAAAATTCAGCTTTGTGTAAATAAATTATATTTTAAAGTATATTAAAATAGAAAACCATTCATTTAAATTGTAATAATATTTCCCAATATTACTGTTTTTTTTTTATCAAATAAATTCAGGCTTGGTAAGAGACTTCTTTCAAAAACATAAAAAAAATGAGACACCACTATAAATATGATTGAATTTACAAAATACAAATGTTGTATTACACAGTGGTAATACTGCACTGATGTTTATGTAGATTATCTAATACATTTCCTTAAAACAAAAAGGTCTGTATAAAAAAAGATATGTCGAGTGCATAATTAAATAAATACAAAATAATCACTTAAGTGATTTAGCATCACAACAACAAAACAGGTAAAAATCACATAGGCAAAAAAGGTCTGTGTACGTACGTTAAGTTGTAATAATAACTATTATTATTATTCAACGCAAATTCAATGTTGACATGATCAGATCCGTCAAACCAACATCATTCTGAATGCTTACATGCTAAAGATTCAACCAATCCTAAGACACATAGACCTAACTTATCAATCACTTCTAATTGCAAAACTTTTATTGAAATAGTAATTTATTCTCGCGACATGTCCCAACAAATTCTTCTTTCAAGCATGGCTGACGGCATGTGTTGGAGTGAACGAATGCCCTCAACTTAACACAAGGTTTACATTATATATGCCACCAATTTTACTTGATAATTATTATGAAAACCTTCAAATCCATAGTTTATGTCAATATTAACACTTACCTCTACAAAATAATAATTAAATTCAAGCAGAGGAGTTGACTGCTCAGGACAGCGCCATCTTGACTTGCGAACGTAGCGCATGACGTCGTTACGTCACGAGGCTTCCAGAATAAATATGGGAGGGCCTCACGCTGAGTGTTTTTATTTATTTCTTTGTGACTGAAAGAAGGAAAACACTGACATCCTCGCATTGGCGTAGCGATGCGCATCAGTATTAGGACCGTCCCGTAGTTTCCCTCGAGTGTTTGAAGTGACAGGAATCTAAAGGGTGGAGAATGAAGCGGCGCAATGCGGACTGCAGCAAACTCCGTCGCCCGTTGAAACGGAACCGAATCACCGAGGGTATTCACAGCAGGTACGGACAGGGAACCTCACGGCCACTCGACCGCACCGTAATGGCGTCTCTGAACTGTGCTTGGCTGTATGTGAGCTGTCACAGTCAGATACAGATCACAGTTCAGTCAGTGTGATCATTCAACTCCGGCCTGACTGTAGCTTAAAGACCATGATACTTCTGACTCATCTCAGTAAAGCATATGTATGGATGCTGGCTTTTGTGTTTCATCCATGGGCTTCAATCGTGCATAATTTGTAATAATAAGAATTACATTTAGTCCTGGCCATGTTATGAATGTTCTTCAGCCTGTGCAGTTCGTCTTTTATAGCCATCATCACTATGTCTTGCTGAAAGATCCAGCTTGTTTTGGATGATGGTAGCCTAGGCTGGTGATTTTTAGCTGGTTATTGGCTGGACAACCAGCTACTCCTAAAAATAAAGGTTCTTTATTGGAACTGGTGGTTACACGAAGAACCTTTAACACTATATATTTAACGATATATAGTGTTAAACGATATATAATCACGATATATATATCCTATATTTTATTTTTAAGAACTGAAAAGTTCTTTTGGGAACCGAAATATGTCAATATGTCATTTAGGGTGGCTCTTTGAAAACCCCCTTTTGGAATTTCTTTTCTTTTTCTTTTTTAAGGAATATGTCATGTGTTAAAAAAAAAAAAAAATCCAACAAAAAAAAGCCACATTATTGTAACGTTTTTGACACCCCCACCTATATATATATGACACCTATATATATATATATATATGTGTGTGTGTGTGTGTGTGTGTGTGTGTGTGCGCGCGTGCGTGTGTGTGTGTGTCAGGTGAATGTTATGATTGTTGACTGTTTTCCTTCAAGAAAGATGTGTAAGATTAAAGTTGATCCTGCAAGTTTTGGTTTATTCAACTTTCACATGACACTGTGTTGACTGAAACTTTATATCTGCTGTCCATCTGAAATGAGTTTATATAAACATACATTACCAAGATATACTCTGCCAAGACCTCATTTTGGCTGTGTATATTTTAATAGTTTTAACATGTGGGATATTCCCACAGTTTGAAAAAACTCTGAAAATGACCAGAAAAAAAATGTCATAGAAATGTAATGTGTAAAAAGTCATGCAAATGTCTACAGTGAATGTAAAATGCTTATAAAGTAATAATGGCATCTGTATAAGTAATTGAAATTCATTTTATAGAAAGGGTTTGCCTAAGACATGAACTTTAATGTTTTTTTTTATTATTATTATTTATTGTTGTGAATTTCTCTTGATCTGGCAGTACCTTTCTATACCTGAAGTTCCTTGTCGTTTGGGCGCTGGTTCTGCTGGCTGATTTCGTGCTGGAGTTCAGGTTCGAGTATCTGTGGCCTTTCTGGCTCTTCATCAGGAGTGTTTATGATTCCTTTAGATATCAGGGATTGGTGAGTATTTGAATTCCCAGCGTTGTGTAATTGAGCAACTAATGGATCATTGTCTTCTTGGTCCTTGTTAAACCAATATTGATGTCTTTGAGTGACATGTTCTACACTGATTAAATCAATTATCTCTACTCTTTTCTTCTCTTATCCCACAGGCGTTCTCTGTGTTTTTTGTGTTTGTTGCATTCACGTCAGACATCATCTGCCTCCTGTTCATCCCCAAGCAATGGCTGTTCTTTGCTGCCAGCACGTATGTCTGGGTACAGTACGTCTGGCATACAGGTAAGTCAACATTGCTCAAGCCCTGCCCTGATACATTAGAGCTGATTGAATGTTAGAGATTGCTGGGAATCTATTGATTGGATGGGGATGGTGCATGGCAAGTGTTTGCGAAAGAGATGCTCCATCATGCAACTGAAAGTTGCAAGCTTTGCCATTGGCATCCATTGACTAATACAAACTGCAAACATGTGGATCCAGTTGTGCTCCCAGAAACCCAATAATTCCATATTCCTGTCTGATATACTCCATCAGAGATTTTGCTAGCATGTAAGTGTAAGCCCAAAAGCCTTTGTCACTTATTATTCAGTGGCATAATTCAGGATCATTCTGCTAATACGCAACTGTTCACTTCCCTGGCAGTTACTTGAAGAGGAGATGTTGAAATGGCTTTTCTTATGCAAACGATACCATTTTGACCTCTCTGGACTGTCATTCATCTTGAATATGTTTGATGATTGCATAAAAGAAAACTGACCAACAGGCCTTTTTTCTCTAAAAAGTTTGGGGTTGGTACGATTTATTTATTTATTTATTTTGTTGAAAGAAGTCTCTTAATGCTCATCAAGGAAAATATTTGTACAATTAGACAGTTGTTAGGACATGCTAAATAACAATAATCTAAATGTTTTCTATTTTAATTTATTTTAAAATATAGTTTTTTCCTATGGACCTAAAGGATTATTAGGAACACCTGTTCAATATCTCATTGATACAATTATCTAATCAACCAATCACATGTCAGTTGCTTCAATGCATTTAGGGGTGTGGCCCTGGTCAAGACAATCCCCTGAACTCCAAACTGAATGTCAGAATGGGAAAGAAAGGTGATTTAAGCAATTTTGAGCTTGGCATGGTTGTTGGTGCCAGACGGGCCGGTCTTGAGTATTTTACAATCTGCTCAGTTACTGGGATTTTCACGCACAACCATTTCTAAGGTTTACGAATAATGGTGTGAAAAGGGAAAAACATCCAGTATGCGGCAGTCCTGTGGGCTTGTTGATGCTAGAGGTCAGAGGAGAATGGGCCGACTGATTCAATAGATAGAAGAGCAACTTTGACTGAAATAACCACTCGTTACAACCAAAGTATGCAGCAAAGCATTTGTGAAACCACAATACACACAACCTTTAGGCGGTACCACTCATCTCCACTACAAATAGGAAAAAGAGGCCACAATTTACAAGAGCTCACCAAAATTGGACAGTTGAAGACTGGAAAAATGTTGCCTGGTCTGATGAGTCTTGATTTCTGATGAGTCATTCAGATGGTAGAGTCAGAATTTGGCGTAAACAGAATGAGAACATGGATCCATCATGCCATGTTACCACTGCAGGCTGGTGGTGGTGGTGTAATGGTGTCGGGGATGTTTTCTTAGCACACTTTAGACCCCTTAGTGCCAATTGGGAATCGTTTAAATGCCACAGCCTACCTGAGCATTGTTTCTGACCATGTCCATCAATTTATGGCCACCATGTACCCATCCTCTGATGGCTACTTCCAGCAGGATAATGCAGTATGGTATGGTGTTAATATAAGTATGGTGTTCCTCCCTAGTAATCCTTTAGGTGAGTGTTTGCTCTTGAATTTAAACTGCTCTTGGAGTTTCAACTGCAGAGATGTTTGATTGTTCCTATCATTATATGTCCTTTTCTTGGTTCGATTCATTGATACCTCAGGAGAGAGGAGGAAAAGAATTGCTGACGCTGAGTGATTGTTCCTTGAAAACCGTTTCAATATGCCTTGAGCTGTGTCACTGATTGCTCCTGCTGACACATGACTTGCAGCGTGTTTCAACAAGAGAGGGTGCTTTCAGCATGCTGGGGTTTTGTTTGCAGCCTAGAGCTTGTTTTGTGAAACCTGTGAAGTTATTGATCTGCCACACAATCAGTTACCTTTTGTTTAACCTCACTGATGACCCTAAAGGTCACTAATGGCCTGTAAGTCATTATATTTTGAATAATTATGCATTCCTATATATGTCATAAGAATGTCATAACTATTAACGTAAGCTAAAGATCAAATGTCAACTGTTATACATAGTTTTTCTATTTTATTCCTTTACAGAGCGAGGCGTTTGTCTACCCACTGTCTCTCTCTGGATTCTTTTCGTCTACATCGAAGCAGCCATCCGATTCAAGGATTTAAAACATTTTCATGTAGACCTTTGCCGTCCATTTGCAGCTCACTGGTAAGATTTGTTTGCATAATTTCCTTCATGTCGTTCCTAACCAATATGACTTGCTTTCAGTTATGGAACATTAGAGGTGAAATTATGAAGTATGTTCACGCTGCTCTTTCCAATAAAACAAACACAAAACAGCATGATCTTTCTTCACAACGTGTATTTCACAGTTTGTATTTCAAAGGTGTCCTATTATGGGTTTTTTTATATATATATATATATATATACAGTGGTGGAAATAAGTATTTGACCCCTTGCTGATTTTGCAGGTTTGCCCACTTACAAAGAATGCAACGATCTATAATTTTAATCATATGTACATTCTAACAGTGAAAGACAGAATCCCAAAGAAAATTCCAGAAAATCACATCATATGAATTTATTAAAATTGATAACCATCTAATGAGGAAAAACAAGTATTTGACCCCTTACCAAACAGCATGTTAATATTTTGTAGAAAAGCCATTATTGGCCAGCACAGATGTCAAACGCTTTTTATAGTTGGTGACAAGGTTTGTGCACATTTCGGCAGGGATGTTGGCCCACTCCTCCCTGCAGACAGCCTCCAAATCTTTCAGGTTCCGAGGTTGTCGCCTGGCAACTCGAATTTTAAGCTCCCTCCAAAGATTTTCAATTGGATTCAGGTCTGGAGACTGGCTAGGCCACTCCAGAACCTTGATGTGCTTCTTCTTCAGCCACTCTTTTGTTGCTTTGGCGGTGTGCTTAGGGTCGTTGTCGTGCTGAAACACCCATCCTCGACCCATCTCTCACTGAGGGAAGGAGATGTTGGTCCAGAATTCCACGATACATGGCCCTGTCCATCCTCCCCTCAATACGATGGAGTTGTCCCGTCCCCTTGGCTGAAAAGCACCCCCAAAGCATGATGTTGCCACCACCATGCTTGACGGTAGGGATGGTGTTCTTTGGGTTGTACTCTTTGCCCTCCAAACACGACGAGTTGAGTTGAGGCCAAAAAGTTCTATTTTGGTCTCATCTGACCACATCACCTTCTTCCAGGCCTCTTCTGAGTCGTCCAGGTGGTGAATGGCGAACTTCATGCGGGCCTGTACATGTTTCTTCTTGAGCAGGATTTCAATCCATGACGGCGTAGTGTGTTACCAACCGTTTCTTTTGTAACTGTGGTCCCAGCTGCCTTAAGTTGATTCATCAGTTCCCCCTTGTGGTTTTGGGATGATTCCTCACCATTCGCATGATCAGGGACACCCCACGAGGCGAGATCTTGTGTGGAGGCCCAGACCGAGGGAGGTTGGCGGTGGTGTGGTGCTTCTTCCATTTCCTTATAACTGCACCGACAGTTGATCTTTTCTCTCCAAGTTGCTTTCCGATTGTCTTGTAGCCCATCCCAGCCTTGTGCAGATCGACAATCTTGTCCCTGATGTCCGTAGAAAGCTCTTTGGTCTTGCCCATGGTAGTGAAGTTGGATGCTGGTTGTTTGGGTGTTGACAGGTGTCTTTTATACAGGTAATGAAGTGAGGCAGGTGTATTTGATGTAGATAATTGGTTGGAATTGAGGCTGTGTCTTAAAGAAAGACTAACTGGCTTGTAGGAGCCAGAATACTTGCTGTTTGGTAGGGGGTCAAATACTTGTTTTTCCTCATCAGATGGTTATCAATTTTTATAAATTTATATGATGTGATTTTCTGGAATTTTCTTTGGGATTCTGTCTTTCACTGTTAGAATGTACATATGATTAAAATTGTAGATTGTTGCATTCTTTGTAAGTGGGCAAACCTGCAAAATCAGCAAGGGTTCAAATACTTATTTCCCCCACTGTATATATATATATACAGTATGTATATATATATATATATATATATAAAACATAATAGGACACCTTTATATATGTATACACACAACTTTCTTCATTGTGTAATGTTGCTTTTGGAGCATGAAAAAGGTCTGCAAAGTTATAAAGCACAAAGTCCACTCTGTAAGCATCTGAAATTTTGTACACATCACAATTTTCCTCATTTAAATAATTCCCGCTCAAGGTATATGCAAAAAAAAAATTGGTTGAGTTGCGTTAGTAGTGTGTTGAAATTAGTTGTTATGTTGATTACGGTGTGACATTTCCAAACTTTTATCAAAGTTGTTGACCAATCAGCACACTGCGCTTTTTGATCAGAACTAAACCGTGTTACAGACTGGGAAGAGGTGCTGCAGTGAAAAATATTTTTTGAAAAGTTTTTTTTATTTTTTTTATACATTTAAGCATTAATATGGATACTAATATACCACAAAAACAAAATCAAGACTTTAAAGAGGACCTATTATGCCCTATTTTCAAAGGTGAAAATATGAAAGATCACACAAAGTTTCACCATTTTTTTTAAATTATTAAACATGTAGTAAATAGCTGATTTAACTGTACTACTTATAGCACAGCAGTCAGTTTTATATTTGTAAACACACTGATGGCGTCTCCATAGCAGCATATGGGAGTGTTGCCATTATCTGAAGGTGTCTGATGTTGAGTCATCACTAGTTGCACCAATCCTTTTTTTCTATATTCTTTAACATGTTGTTCTAACCCTTTCTTTATAGCATTGGCTATCCGGTGGTGACGCTGGGCTTCGGCTTCAAGAGTTACGTGAGCTATAAGATGCGTCTGCGGAAGCAAAAGGAGGTGCAGAAGGAAAATGAGTTCTACATGCAGCTCCTACAGCAGGCCCTGCCGCCAGAACAACAGATGATTCAGAGACAGGAGCGAGAGACAGATGAGGGTAAGATCACCATTTGGCCATTATGATAATACAATATGTTTTTAAAATTTATAAAACTGACCAAGACAAAATATGGGTCAGTCAAAAATCATCAAGGCATTGATGTCACAACCATGATCTTATTACCATGTGATTGATGACCGGTCACATTCAAAAGTTTGAGGCCAGTCAGACTTTAAAAAAAAAAAAAAAATGAAAGGAGTCATGATGAATTCAGAAATCAAGTGTTTCTTAGTCTTTTGACATGTAAAGGACCCAATATACTCACGGCGAAGTTCTTTGTTTAGGGGTAAAATGAAGTTTGAAATGTGTAACCAGTGATATACTGTTATCAAAACATCAGTAACAAAAAAAAAATTGAGAAAACGGCAAGATTTTTTTAATAAACCATTAGAAAAGCATCCGATCGTAACACCATGGGTATGCTTGCATGAGCTCTGCAATTCACCACTCTAGCGAAGTCACATCACATTTATTTATATAGCACTTTATACAATAGATTGCTTTAACATCAATTAGCTTTTACTGTATTAAAGATGAAAAACAGTCTCATCAGAAATACAACTTCATTTTCTACTATAAAGCAGCTCTCTAATGTGTTCATGTTTTCACTCGCGGGTCAGTATTTATACTATAGTGCTGCAGTCAAACTGTGAATAGTTGTGATTTGCTGTTCTTTCCTTTGCTTCGACGTGTATTTGGTTAATGCAGTGGATTCCCGTATACGAAAGAAAGCACGTAGAGAACGCTGCTTTTGTTATTAGTTTGATCCTAGCCATTTGTTGTCATCCTGAATCTTCTGTTTTGTAAGACTACTACACTTTTCATTTTATTTTTTATTTCGTATTTTAAAGGTGCCATGTGTCAAAAAAAATCAAATCATACTCCGTATTCCATACCAGATGGGGGCAGTATACCTCCAGAAAGTGAGTTGTGCCGCGGCCCTTCAAACAACACGAGCGAGCGCTGTTTTTCTCGCTCTCCCTCGCGCATATTAACTAAATAAATTGACACGATAGTAAAAGGTTGGAAGACCGCAGTTTCACGTGGAGCTTTTGGAGATTTTTAGAGATTAGAGACTCAATGAACAACATCTTAACACTAAATTATAATACTTTTCTTAACACCTTTTAACTATTATATGAAACCATACAATAAACTTTAAATGTTTTACATTTGTTTTACCAAGTTGAAACCAGTTATCATAAAAATGGATATTTTGCATTTTTATTACACAATGTTTGGTAACTGTCAAAAATATGTTCAAAGTCCTAGTTGATATCACGCTGAGACTGAAAGGGACAAGTTTAGTGTACTCCATGCTGTGTGCTTTGGATGTACACCACACATTTTCCCTAATGTTCTATGCTCGCAGATCATTTTCATAGTGCGTGCATACATAGTGCAAAAATAAAATCAGTCATATGGCAGTACGACACAACTATTCATTTGCATGATGCTTTCCAATTTATATTTTTCATTTGAAGTCATAGCAGTAAGACAGCATTGCTTAGTATCCTTAATCTCTCTTTAATTCATTTGGCAGCCAATTCAAAAGCCACATCTGAAGCAGATTCTGCGTTAGTGGCTCAGAACGGCATTCCTAATACCAAGAAACTGCCCATCTCTCTACCTGAACTGGAGTACAAGGAGAAGGGCAAAGATGGGGGGAAAGACAAAAAACAGCAGCAGCACAGCATAGGAATAAACAACAACATCTTACAGACTGTGGATGCTAAACTACAGGACATTGAGTATATGGAGAACCACCTAAACACTAAGAGACTCAACAATGAGCTCGGCAGCAGCGCAGAGAACCTGTTCCTAAAAGAGGAGGTAGGCGGTGGAGGAGGAGGCTCTGCCCCCTCTAAACATTACAAAAACTCCTCCCCCCGTAGCCACAACTCCACCAATGGCAGCGTACCATCCTCCTCAACCAGCAGGAGTGAAAAGAAACAGAAGTGTACGGGGAAGAACCTGGCACCTCACAGAGATCTGATGGAGAACTGTATACCCAACAACCAGCTCAGTAAGCCAGATGCATTAGTGCGGTAAGACTCCTCACGTAGCAGCTACTGTGGTCCGATTGAGCCATTGGAGTGTGTTTGGTCTGTTTATTCACTTTTTCTCTGTTTTTCAGGCTTGAGCAGGACATAAAGAAGTTGAAGGCTGACCTGCAGGCGAGCAGACAGGTGGAGCAAGACCTGCGCAGTCAGATCAGCTCTCTGAGCAGTGCCGAGAGAAGCATGCGCTCTGAGCTGGGGCAGCTCCGCCAGGAAAACGAGTTACTGCAAAACAAGTGAGAAATTATTTACTAATCTATGCCAATACAAATTTTAAACCCTGTCTCAAATGGTACCCTAAACACTCGTGGTCTTCCTACGAATCTGCGAGTTTGCTGGGTAACGCTGCTTTTACTGTCAGGTGGAAGTCAGTGCAGGCTCAGCAAAAGTGCCCATCGAGGGTGCATATCGACTGCAAAGCTTGCAAGCCTAAAATAACAAATGGGACTAGACTGTAAGTGCATATGAAGTGTACCATTTGGGACAGGGCCAAACTTTGATTACCTGGACCACTAGTAGAGCTTATACTGCGTTCACGTGCTATGGATAGTAGGATGACAAGTATTTTCCACTTGTTAACTGGTATTTACCAGTGTGTTGCGTTCAAGTGCTTTTGTTGTCGTAATGTGGTAAAAAGACGGAGATCCAGACCTGTTATTTAGCTAAAACTATTTTAGATTGCTCAAGTCAAGTCAAGTCACATTTATTTATATAGCGCTTTTCACAATACAGATTGTATCAAAGCAGCTTCACAGTGATAACATGAAAGTAGTACAACACAGATCAATAATATTGTTAAATATTAAATACTAAATAACCCCGACTAAGCAAGCCAAAAGCAAGGCGACAGTGGCAAGGAACCAAAACTCCATCAGATTGGATGGAGAAAAAACCTTGGGAGAACCCAGGCTCAGTCGGGGGCCAGTTGTCCTCTGGCTTACGTTCATATTGTTTATATATAAATATTAAAGATAAATATTGTTTATATATAAAACGGCGCCATAACATATCGCCGGCGTTAAGTCGTCTCTTCACTTAAGTCATCTGCAACAGCAAGAAAATGATTTATAACTCAAATGGTAAATAATATGCTATATATTTTCTAGATCATGAATAGCATATATTTTTACCATTCACGACTCTTGCGGTGCTCTCCGCCATTTTGAAAAGTTCAAAGGTTATCTCATCTCGGCAACTCCATCAAAATATTCTATGAGTTGCCCAGTGGAAAATACCACATGAGGGGGTGTTTGCATTTTCCACGTCGGCTTTTGGTATTTACCATAATTACCATCGCACATGAACGCAGCATCAGATCGGGCCCAAAAAATTAAACCTGACCCTACCCGAGCTTGTGCACGTTGTGTCCGAACGTAATTATGAGCCCAAGCCTGATTTAAACCCGACCATTTTTTAATACTTGGGTCGTTATAACTGACGTTCTCAACTTTCTATGTTACTTTCTCCCGCCTGCAATGTTTATGGCTTGTCCTGCCCCTGGCCCGTAAAAGCTCGCAAATAGACTTGTCTGTACCTCCAAATACTTTCGAGTTAAGGCCAATTTATACTTCTGCGTAGGGTGCGCGCAGTAGGTACGGCGTAGCATACGCACAGACGCGTCCCATTGCACGTAACCTTCGCTGTCGCCTGACGCGCACCTCCTCAAAAATGTAACTACACGTCGCGACGACGCGGACCGCAAGATCGGTGATTGGTCGGCTTGGTAGCATCGCATTTCCTCCTACGCATTTCCGCACGTACCTTCTCACGCATTTCCATCACTGTCTATGATTTCCACATGTACCATCTCCTCCGACGTCTTCTCTCATTTCTGCCTTTCAGTTTTAGTAATTTCACCAAATTGAACTGTTTTTCCACCTCAATAAGCTCCAACTCCAACATGATCCACTCTCTTTTAATCGCTATTGCTTGTAGTACCCTAGCCGCGAGGAATCTAAACACAGTGTAACATTAAAACTCTCCGCCGCCAACTAGCGTTTCGGAGCAGTACTGCAGAGCAACAAGACCTGAACGCAGAAGTATAAATGCTCATAACGGCGTCGCCTACGTGCGTAGCCAACGCCGCACATTACGGCGTACCCTCGACGCAGAAGTATAAATTGACCTTTAGCTTGCGTGTCGCCACCATACACATCAGCATAAATGCTCCTGATGAATTATTTCTTATTAAAGCATCAAACCACTGTTAATTTAACGTGAAAGCAAGCAGGCTACTGCGTGCATGGTCTGGCATGACTGAAGTGCGCATCCTTTAATAATTCCTAAAAAGCTGACTCGTAGCTGAATCTGTTATTATTAAGCTGACTGCACAATGAATCTTTCATAAAATTCACACTTTGTTATAATTTGTGCCAGTGTTGATTATGTGCTTCTTTGTCTTAGGCTTCATAACGCTGTGCAGGCCAAGCAAAAGGACAAGCAAATGATTGTGCAGCTTGAGAAGCGACTCAAGGCAGAACAGGAAGCGCGAGCCGCCGTGGAAAAGCAGCTTGCAGAAGAGAAGAAAAGAAAGAAGATGGAAGAGGCTACAGCTGCACGTGCTGTCGCTCTGGCAGCTGCCTCCAGGTGAGACATGAATAACTCGCCCAAAAATATTGTTCCATCCCCGTATACTTTTTAATACTTTCTGTGGAAAATTGGTGCATGGTGTGCTTTTGTGTCTTTTGTTATGTCGTCGTACTGGTGGGCTTCACTTTCGCTTCCATTCACAGAGGGGAATGCACAGACTCGCTGAGGAGTCACATACGTGAACTGGAGTCAGAATGCAAGAAGCTCATGCATGACATGAAGCTAAAGGAGGAACTCATCAGAGAGCTAGAGCTCAAAGCGCAAGTAAGCCAGAACCTCTGCTGACGTGGTGCTTTCCAAGAGCAATATTATTTATATATACACTCACCTGAAGGATTATTAGGAGCACCTGTTCAATTTCTCATTAATGCAATTATCTAATCAACCAATCACATGGCAGTTGCTTCAATGCATTTAGGGGTGTGGCCCTGGTCAAAACAATTCCCTGAATTCCAAACTGAATGTCAGAATGGGAAAGAAAGGTGATTTAAGCAATTTTGAGCGTGGCATGGTTGTTGGTGCCAGATGGGCCGGTCTGAGTATTTCACAATCTGCTCAGTTACTGGGATTTTCACGCACAACCATTTCTTGAGTTTACAGAGAATGGTGTGAAAAGGGAAAAACATCCAGTATGCGGCAGTCCTGTGGGCTTGTTGATGCTAGAGGTCAGAGGAGAATGGGCCGACTGATTCAAGCTGATAGAAGAGCAACTTTGACTGAAATAACCACTCGTTACAACCGAGGTATGCAGCAAAGCATTTGTGAAGCCACAACACGCACAACCTTGAGGCGAATGGGCTACAACAGCAGAAGACCCCACCGGGTACCACTCATCTCCACTACAAATAGGAAAAAGAGGCTACAATTTACAAGAGCTCACCAAAATTGGACAGTTGAAGACTGGAAAAAATGTTGCCTGGTCTGATGATTCTCGATTTCTGTTGAGTCATTCAGATGGTAGAGTCAGAATTTGGCGTAAACAGAATGAGAACATGGATCCATCATTCCTTGTTACCACTGTGCAGGCTGGTGGTGGTGGTGTAATGGTGTGGGGGATGTTTTCTTGGCATACTTTAGGTCCCTTAGTGCCAATTGGGCATCGTTTAACTATCGTTTATGCCATGGCCTACCTGAGCATTGTTTCTGACCATGTCCATCCCTTTATGGCCACCATGTACCCATCCTCTGATGGCTACTTCCAGCAGGATAATGCACCATGTCACAAATCTTGAATCATTTCAAATTGGTTTCTTGAACATGACAATGAGTTGACTGTACTAAAATGGCCCCCACAGTCACCAGATCTCAACCCAATAGAGCATCTTTGGGATGTGGTGGAAGGGGAGCTTCGTGTCCTGGATGTGCATCCCACAAATCTCCATCAACTGCAAGATGTTGTCCTAGCAATATGGGCCAACATTTCTAAAGAATGCTTTCAGCACCTTGTTGAATCAATGCAACAGGCAGTTCTGAAGGCGAGAGGGGGATAAACACAGTATTAGTATGGTGTTCCTAATAATCCTTTAGGTGAGTGTGTGTGTATATATGTATGTTAATCTGTGATTGTCCAAGAAAGTTCAATATGTTTAGCCTATGGACTTTTTTTTACAGATTTTACTGTAAATGTTTGATCTGATTTGCCCTGATTCATGGGATAAAATGTTTGGTCTGATTCCTAGGACAAAACGTTTGGTCTGACTTGGACTAATTTCTGGGACACAATGTTTCACGCAGCAATTATGGATGTTAAATAAGTTGTAGATGTTGTTTTATATTGACCGTTTCAGATCTTTTCTACAACTAAAAAGTACCTTCATATGCTTGCACGTCTCTTTGTGTCTCTGTGCAGGAGCTGCGTAAATATAAGGAGAGCGAAAAGGACACGGAGGTTCTAATGTCAGCACTGTCGGCCATGCAGGACAAGACCCAGCATTTAGAGAACAGTCTGAGTGCTGAGACCAGAATAAAACTGGATCTCTTCTCAGCACTCGGAGATGCCAAGCGACAGCTAGAGATTGCTCAGGGTTTGCCCTTTTCATGTCCTAATAGATCTCTATATCGACTATATTTCTGCCTGCGCTCTCACTAACATATAGTCTTTTCGCCCTGCTCGCAGGTCAGATATTGCAGAAGGATCAGGAGATAAAAGAGTTGAAGCAGAAGATCGCAGAGGTTATGGCGGTCATGCCCAGTATCAACTACTCGGCAGAGACCAACAACATGACCCCTGTGACCCCACATTACTCCTCCAAGTTCATGGACACCAGTCCTTCCAGCTTGGACCCCAATGCCTCTGTCTACCAGCCGCTCAAGAAGTGAATGTTCACACGTCGTCCACTTCGCTCCTTGATTTGTCTAAAAGTTCAGTATGCAAACCAGTGGAATGGGGTTGTATTTTTGTTTGATTTACCCCTCTTGTTGGTATGTTATTGCTAATATAAGTGGAGGATTAGAAGGGAAAAAAGATGGATGTCACATTAACAAGAACTGCCCTCCTGGTGTTAAAAGTTATTTTTGAAGCTCTTTCACCCATGTTCTTTTCTTGGTAACGGCACTTCAGCCTATTATGGTTCTTTTGTCATTCGATTTTCCATTTTGTGAGGTCTTAATGAAGACCTTTCATGATTTTATTAGTACCACCTCATCTTTGTGTTGAATCTGAACCGTTTTATGTCCCAGAAATGGTGGCATGACTTATTTTACTTCCCTGGTGTAAGCGTACATATTTAAGTTCTTTGAATGTAAAAAGAAAAGGGAAAAATATACTGAGATGAGGCACAAGTGTTCGTGATGGAAAACATGTCGTGTTTGTTGCAATGGAGTGATTAAGAATGCATTTGTTTAATTATGACCATAGTATTGTACATCTGTTTTCGGGGTGGTAAAAATCATTTCATTACAGATGTTGGATCTGAATTTGTTATATTTTTTTCAAGTTTTCAGTTTCTCCCAATGCTGTTTTCTAAGATGTCGAAGACACGAAAAAAGAAAAACCCATGTGTTTAAAAAGGGACTGATCTTCACATTGTGTTTGTGGACAAAAATGCTGCATAAATATTTGGGAATGTTGTCGTATTTTGCGGTCAATGCAAGTCCTTTTATTACCGGACGAAATTGAAATAGAATTTAGTTAAAACCAGTTGAAAAACTGGACATATGATGTCTTGTTTGCCAGTTGTTATGTTACACAGTGCCTTGAAATATCTTGTTTAATATATTCTCACACACTTCCCATGCCATGTTCAGCTAGAATCCATCTGATTGGTCGGTATGACCTGTTATTCCCAAGTGTGGCATTTAAAACCGCAAGCCCACTTTAATCCACTATTATCAGTGTTCTGTTATTTCTGCTGTCTCTAATTTGCATTAACATGTTCATTGCATTTTATAATATTTGCTGAATGGTTTGATTTTGGTCAAATGTGCCATTTTTTTCACCCCTCCACCATTTAATGTCATTGAAGATAATGCAAACTATACATGCGTCATTTTATAAATCTCTCATTGCAGATAACGTCTAAAATCAATCCATTAATGTTTCATTACAAAGCTACTTCATATTTCTTCTTCATTGGTTTAAGGATTGTGTCAAGATCCAGGCAGAATATGCCTGTTTGGTTTAGTCCTTGTTTTACAACAGGGGTTTCTTTTTTTATTTGTCTACCTTGGGAAAGTATTACTGTGGATTGCATTTGTTGTTTTTATGGTAAACTTTGTGGAGAGTAAAGAACACGCCTTTGTTTCTCATTGTTTGGATTTTTTAAAGAACTAAGATAAAGTGTGTGTGCGTGTGTATGGGAGTAAAATAACTCATCACTTTTCTTGCTTTGAGGAATTTGCTATTGAACTTGAATATTTCACAATTACATTTACAAGGGAAAACAATGTTTTACTCCTTTCAATGTCATTTTGCCTCTAAATACTTCATAGGACATCATATCTTAAATATTTATTTTTACTCTCGTACACTTTTGCAAATGTTATGTTATTATAGCAGTTACATATATCATTTTAAAGCTAGATTAAATTGGCTACAAGTTTGCTCATTCGTTTTTTTCATTAACTTCAGCTAGTTGTCAAGGCAGCATTTCCTTTTTTGTTGTTTATTAAGGTAGTATATAGACAAATCTATATATAGACATGACAAAATGACTAAAACTTTTTAATTAAAATGATAACACAATATATATATACAAATTTAATTCAAAATATGAACAAAAACTACAGTAGTGATTCTCAAACCGGAGGCCTGGGACCCAATGGAAACCTGGGGACCGCAGGATTGTTCAAATTAATACTTTATTATTATTCCAATTAATGTTAATAACATTATTATTTTCCTCCACTCCTAAATAAGTAGGCTATTTGTGTGTTGTTGGTTTTCCAAGCTTGTCATGAATACCAAAAATACTGACGGATATATTTTATGAAGGGGCCTTCGATTTGTGTTGGACAGTGGTGGACATTCAAGCAAAAATGCTCAACCACGGAATATTTGACTTAAAAATGACGTTTTATTGCCATATTGAAATAAAATACTTGACCGAGTCTCAATAAAGGACGATTTCTCCTATATCCACGCGAGGGCGACAAAGATTAAATCAATAGATCTCTATGTTTGTGTCACTTGTTTTTCATGTCTGTCTTGCTATTCTGCGAGACACCAAAACCTTATGAATGTTGACTTATAATCAAGCATTATAGGGAAGTATGAAGACTTTAAGCCGTACATATATGAGGTTCCTTCATAAAAGCCACTGTCTGATTCTCTGATGGACCCAGCCATTTAAAAAGCAAGCATACACACCAAAGGCTTCGGATGGATTGTTTAATGCCGTTTCCATGGAAACAGAATCTGGGCGCCGCGTAATTCGAACGTCATTTTGATTGACGGATGAAACACCGCCCAGGAGACTCGAGGACTCAAGTATTCCCACAGATGTCGGCATCGAAACGGCAACAACAAAGTTGAGAGTGGGAAGACGTTCATGGCCAACAGCAGCACCTGAAGACGCTTCTCCGCTTGAAAACCTCGTCATGGATGTGCTGAAATCTGCCAGAAGGGCTTTTATTCGGAGTCCCAGCCTGACCAAACAGTCCTGGAGCTCAGGCAAACACCAAAGTGAGTATTCGTGTCAACAGCGAGACTTTGTTTGGGGTGTTTTCACGCGTCACTGGTGTTGTCCATCCGTTAGCATCTGAACTTGATTTGTCAATAGTGTTTAATCATGTGTAGTAAAACAATCAAAAGATGCAGTTTGCCTTGTAGTTGTGAATATTTATTGGTTATTTTGTGGGTAAAATGTGTGTTTGTGTTTTGTATTTGTTTAGTTCTTCAATATGATCTAAATATTCTGTGCAAAATTTGTTTAATGAACGACACAGACGCATTTTTTACAGGTGTCGGCGATATTCACAATCTTCATTCGAAAATAGAAGTGTTTTGGGGTTTATTGGTGGTTGACCTTGTCTCTAAACCTGTTGAACTAGCTATCAATACAGCTGTAATGCCCAAAAACGCTGTCTACATTTTGAGACATGGCTTCGCTGGAGCATGTCCCCCAACAACAAGATTAGCGAGTTTTTCCATCAGCCCTCAGAAAACCCATACTTCTATTTTAGCGAGCCACTTTTGAAGCATATTTTGTTTTGTGGTTAATATCTGCACAATATCACCACTGTAAAACCAAGAATGTTTTGTATAACCATTTTTTTTACTTTGTCATCATTTACTCACCTCATTTACTGTTGTTCCAAACCTGAATGAGCTTATTTCTTCTGTTGAACACAAAAGAAGATGTTGTTAACCAGACAGTTGTCGGACCCCTTTGAATTTCATAGTATTTTTTTCCCACTATGGGAGTCAGTGGTTGCCTGTCTGGTTACTACAGTCTTGCAAATATCTTATTTTGTGTTCAACAGAATATTAAAACTAATACACGTTTGGAACAACTTGAGTGCGAGTAAATAAATGAGGACAATTTTCATTTTTGGGTGAACTTTCCCTTAATAATTCACTTTAGACCAGGAGGCTGGAATGTGGATGTTCATTTCAGACACTTTATAAAAATCCGGAGATTTTTCTCACTGACCTCCTATAATACGTAATGAAAAAAACACATGCAGAGGCCCACAGTGCAGATGCTTTGACCTTAATAAATCTTCCAGCCAAAAAATATAAACAGAAAATTCATGGCATTGAAAATCATTTGTAATATTAATCTGTGTGGCTTCATTGTGTGAATAAAACACAATTAAATGTTAACCATTAAAGGCAGGGTACACTCTAAAAAATGCTGGGTTGTTTCAACCCAATTTTGGGTAAAATATGGACATACCCAGCCATTGGGTTAATTTTTTTAATTACATTTTTAACCCAACGTTTGGGTTCGTCCATATTTTACCCAAAATTGGGTTGAAACAACCCAGCATTTTTTAGAGTGTATGCGATTTGTTCCAGATTTGATTTTTTTTTTGTTCTTATGCTGGTCTCTTCACATCTTAAAATCACTAAGTTAAGTGGTCTAAATTTGACTTTATACACATTTATATATCGTCTGGAAGGCGTAGGACGAAAAAAATATTCGTCCAATAGTCCATTCAGTCCAGTAGTCAATTAAAATAGAAATCTTTTGTAAAATTTAAATGTCTTTAGTTTTGCTTTTGATCAATTCATTCCATCCTTACTAAATAAAAAGTATAAAATGACCCAAACTTTTGAATTGTGTATTAAGGTTGATATTTACGAGACATATAATCACTTATCAATCACAGAACAGTCATAGATTCAAAGATCAAGGTTACAGGTCAAGTATTTTTTTGCTAAATATGATCCACACTGGGAAATGGTAGAAAAATAAGTTATTTAATTGATAAACAAGTGTTTTGGTACAGTGGATTTTTGAGGGTTAATTAAAAAGGGACCTTATGAAAAGTTGCCAACAACGGTTTTGTGAAATAAACAATTGCAAAGCCAGCAGTGTGATATATTTTATTTATTTATTATTATTATTATTATTATTATTTTGTCTGCGTCTAAAATCATTTTCTTTCTCTTTGACATCCACCCTGGACTACAAGTATGTACTTGTTTGCTGGTATATTCAAGACTTTCTAAAGCACGTTTGTTTCAACAAAGAAATAATTCTTCAAAGTTGCAGTGGACGAGCTCAAAACTAAGCTTTGAAAGCAGGTGAAGTGGGCTGGCTTGGTCTTAACAAGTCTAAAACAAATTTCTTTAGTGGGATTAGAGCGTTTTCTCTGCATTTTCGTTTCCCCTTTAGTTCTGTCTTGACTCCACAAAAGCAGCTCTGTTTGTTGGCTGAGAGCTGCTTATCTTTATGACCTAGAATGCAAGAAGTCTGCAAGTACACGGTTATGATTGTGTTTAGTCACAATCCAGTCACAGTGAAAAGGCTCAGGCTTTTGCCAGAATGGTAAAAGTTTCCAACATCAGCAAGTTACCAGTGTTTATAGGTTGTTCTCTCAACGGCTGAGTGATGGAGAATAAGACGCACTTGTGTGTTTAACATTCTTTTGTTGATCTACTGACCTACTTTTAGCTCCAACACAGACTTCACCTCACTTCCCTCCTTTTTGTTGGAATCCAAACAAAGATATTTTGTTTTTGTTTTGTTTTTTTACTTGCAGTTGTTCATTTTGTTAGCTGGGTTGTGTAAGTTAAGCGGTTCTTGTGGGTCACTCAACCTGAAATGGGTCACAGATAGGGTTAATGTTAAAAGTGAAAACAGAGGGTCAAATCTAGTTTGAAAGCACGTGCCAATTTTTAGAACTGAAATCTTTGTATTCATGTTTCGTTATTTAATGCTATTTTATTTAACACAAACTAACATGGTAATCAAATATGAGGTGTATTAAATTAATTCGATAAGTTTGCCCGCAAATTAGCATATTGCTAATGCTAAATGCAGATAATCAAATGAAAGTAGCCATATAATTATATGCACTGTTAGGATGGCAAAATGAATGGGTTTCTCAACTTTTAAAGGGGAGATTTGAGAACGATTCACCTTGTTATAGTTTATAATTGCTTTCCTTCCTCTTGAACTTCTCATTCAGGTATCTCCTATGATCATTTCTCATCATCAGAGTAATCAGAAATGTCCTTCTTGCTGCTCCAAAGTCATGTGCCTCAACAGAGAAAGTGCATAGCTTGCAGCAAACATCGCTGCATTGTAATGAAGAGAGAGTTTTTATGGTGTTTTATAGTGGTGAGATTTATCGCCTCATGCCTCTGGATCTTTGGTATTTGTCGGTGCCCTGCACATACTAAAAAGGACGGCAGCCTGACGCAGAGTGTGAGGGAGACGTCCAGCAGTTGTTGAGGCTTTTCCAGGCAGTCCATTTGACAAAAGCATTAGATATTAACCTTTCATGTTTCATGAGGAGCCGCAAGTAGAGGTTTTTTGGTTGTTTTTTCACAAAGCCATCATTATCCCATCAAAGTTTGATATCGTCAGTTTAGTTCTTTGCAATTCACATTAGAAGAATAAATATGATATATTCTTCATTTCAATGCTCTCATTAACATGTTCCTTAAACTTGGGTCATCTACTTTTATTTGTGTTTGTCTCTTTAAGAATGATTTCCTGTTTCTTAAGAGTGCTGTTTATTTTTAATTTTGGGAAAAATAAACAAAGGACATTCTTTCCTCTCTCTATCTGACCGAGATTGAAATAACTCCCAACCTTACCATGACTTCAAGCTTGGAGACAACCAGTGGTTTGGGTCACTCCACCCTTGGATGTTTCTCCAGGCAAAATAGCGTTTCCCCCTTGTAATTTAAGGGCCCTTAGGCTTGGGTGTGTCACTAATCAGTGTGTCACTATGGCTGTATTATTTCCATTTCTCCATGTCTATGAATTACCATGGTTTTATGACGGGGTTGTAACGCATCATCAATAATTTCATCATGTTATTTCAGGAGCTGTGGTCAAAGTAATGATATAGATGTATTCTATTGTCATTTGTCAGCCTTTGAGTTTCTTTGTAATGGTTCAAACATCCTTGGTGTGGCTGGTTCTGTTTATGATTGAAATTACACATTAGAGCTTTAAATTTTGCCCTTGTCATGACTCATGACTTTCATCAGTCATCTTTGTTTTCTGTTAGCTGTACACGAGAATTAACAATATTCATTCTGAGAATGATTCATTGTTTCCTGTGATTGTGATTCCTGTTAATATGTATTATTCGTTGAATGGGTCATACGGCTGATTAATGGTTAATGTTTAAGAGGTCTAGGAGACCAGTGGCTTGTTCAGACCAAAGTTAAGAGATACAGGAATTTTCCTTGGTTCAATATAAATATAATGCTATTTAATGTTTTATATATAACATATAGGTGGGTTATACCATTTATTAGGAACGTATAGAAAAATAACACCATAAGGTGAACTTTGTGGGACTTGAATACCTGTGTTGAACAAATCTGACTAAATGAAAAATGTCTGTTTTGGCTTGCTGCCTTTGTGTTGTAATCCTATAATTTATCTATGGGGATTTTCTGAACTTTAAATGCCATAGCTCCACTGCCAAAAGCGATCAGGTGAGCCACAGGTAGTGTGACTAGAGCCAAACATGTGATTTCTCTCAACAAAAATAATGTTTATTTGTGTGTATTCTGTGTTAATGGATAGCCGAAACGGCTCTTTGTGTGTTGTAATCATATTGGGAGTTTTTACAGATTGTGATTGTGAAGGCGGGAGGTGTTGGAGTTTCATAGGTTTCAACTAACTGAGTATACAAAACACAAGCTTGAAAGCAAAGAGCCAATGCTGCGATTGCAAAATTACAAATTTATTTTCTGAAAATACCACTACTAAACTAATACATTACATATGCATTTATATAAGTTACCTAACTTAACGTTTTGGATTCCAGAAGTGTTCAGTAGGGGTTCTGTGCATTGTGAAGGCTTGAGCTGAGAAAAGACACTGGTTCATGAAAGACACGCTTAACAGCTGCTCCAGGCCTTTGATTATCTGTCTGTTTTCAGTCAGCCCCGGGAATAAAGTTGTACAGACTGAGGCAACAAAATGTTTTTGTTTGTTTTTCTGGCCTGGGATATTTGAGTCTCTTCAGCAAGGGTTGATTCCAACAAATATTTACTCAATACTTTTTTTCTTTCTTTAATATTTCATAACTGTTCATGACCTCTGCATTGCAAGTCTCTTGTGTGCACTTTGGTTGAAGTTGTTCACTGTTTATCTGTGCTGACTTTAATCCACATGTGTAAATGTTTTTGTAGCTATTCAGCGTTGCTTCATAAACTCGTCTTCACGCTGCGTTTTTTTTCTTCATGCAGAGCTCCCTGAGAATTGGACTGACACAAGAGAGACTCTTCTCGAGGGAATGACCTTTAACCTTCGTCATCTGGGGATGACTCTGGTGGACCAACCCAAAGGCGAGGATCTCTCAGCTGCTGCTGTCAAGAGGATTGTTGCCACGGTGAGTTCATTTGTTTTAACTTGGATATGAAGATATTAGAATATCTGAAGACCATAACATCATTGTGACAGCCTAGCAACCACATAGCAACACCCTTGCAATCCCCTGGAATACCCTAGCAACTGCATAAAAAATTAAAGACACTCAGAAAATGTTTGCAACTGCATTGCAAGGCCCTGGCTCATAGCCTATAAACCACATAGCAACTCCCTGGAAATCACACAGACTACCCTAGCAACTGCATAACAACAAACTAAAACACCTTAGAAACCCCATAGTAATCATACAGAACCGCCTAGAATCAAGTTCTGCATGGACGAATAAATTGCATAGACCATGGAAAAGCAGCAAAATTAAAAATGTTTTCATATTTATTCATTTTATTTAGGCCAAAGCCAGTGGGAAGAAACTGCCTAAAGTGGCCCTGAAAGTGTCCCCTCAGGGAATCATCTTGTGCGATAGGGTGTCTAACCAGATGATCGAGAACATTTCCATATACAGGTGAACTCTACACGCCTGAGCTCAACTACTTCTCTCACGTTCAACTGCCTGTAAAACATTCACTTGTTGTGCCACTGAACCACATTAGCGTATGAAAGAAGTGGTCTCTGCTCGCTTCCTCTTCTCAGAAGTGAGTGTGTCTGAACTACAGTGGTGATGATTTATCCTGCCATCCAGTGTTTTACCATACGCACACACACTCGCCTCCGAGTTTCTCACTCGAGACATGTGAAATACAGCATGCTGCAGGAAACCAGCAGTAGTCCATATTTAACTTTATTGTTTTTATTGTCTATAAACTGTAATTGATATTTCCCATTGCTATTATTATAGTATTATACATAAACTATGCCGTTATCAATATTTGTATTATATTATGTACTTATGATATTATATAGTTATACTAAATTATTTAATATTACTTCTCACTTTATCTTACATGTACTATTTGCATTGTACTGTAGTTGTACCATATCAGTTATCGGTGTGCGATACCTCGAGTTGTCCTAAACGCCAATGCTGTCTGCTTTTGCTCCATGTCCATATCGCCATCATCATTTTGTGTTTACTCAAACCTGACTGCTGGTTTGTTTTGTGACCCTTTCTCCCAGGATTTCATACTGCACAGCTGACAAGATGCATGACAAAGTGTTTGCATTCATCTCCCAGAACCAACACAATGGGACGCTGGAGTGCCATGCGTTCCTCTGTGCCAAACGGAAAGTGGTGAGTGTTTGATGCTTTCCTTATGAAAGCTGTGAATCTTTCCATCAACACAAAGACGTCTGACTGGAACAAAAGGAGTCAAACTAAGCATGATGAAGGAGGACAGTTGTTCAGAATAGCTCTGTTGAAGAACAAGCTGTTCTTCTCAGCATAGCACAATGATAAAAAAACATGTTAACATGCCTGTTGAGGCTAGATGGTGATGTTTATATGCAAACGCTTTTCCTACATAGGCAACATTTTGAAGGCTGTTCAGAAAGTTGGGAGATTTCAGATATGCATTGATTGTTTTTATTCTTCAGAGAAAGTATTCTTCCAAAATGCACAGCAATTCGAGAAAAGTGATTACTAATAAATCTTCAATTCAATACTGAAAAGTATTAATTGATTAAATGATTATTTTACCCAATATTTTTTTTTTTGAACTATGTAGTATATATGTATTCCAACAAAATAAAAGAAACTTTCAGAAAAACAAATTTAATCTTCAGTTAGTTAACAACAGTTAACACTCTCTAGAAGCTTCATATAATGAGTATCAATAAGGTATAGTGTCTCTTTTCAATACATACAATAAAAATATTAATGCACAGACACATCAATATTTAAGAATCTCTATCTCCTGTTGATTTACAAAATGAATCCTGTGTAAGCGCAGTGGTGTTGATAGAATACACATAGGAAAATAATATTCTCTTACATTGACTACGCTTTATAACCCATTCAAAACATCGACAATTCCATTTTTTAATTCGATATTCAAGATTGTGAATTAATTTCGATCGATATCGATTTAAAATCAAAATCGTGACACCCTTAAAACAAACACCGGCAAAAACCTGAATATGATCATATTCCGGTTTTTAAAAACCTGAATATGATCATATTCCGGTTTTTAAAAACCTGAATATGATCCCTGGGTTACCCCTTTTCTAACCCGAATATTTGGTCATGTAAAGGTGTTTTGGCATATCCCCATCAAAAGGAACATTGATTTGTGTTCTGCGCATGTTCTATTTACAAGGAATCTAGGTCTTTTTTAGTAGACAGCACATACAAAAATCCGCATGCAGTATACCGGAAGTAAAGAAGTAGAGGTAAACATGACGAGATGCAGCACAGCACTATGCTTTTGGAGCTTGTGAGTTAATACCAGCACCAAAGCGCAAACAAAGGTGATCGCCATCTGCCCCGAATTATTCATTATCCACATGCTGCTGCTGCTGTTGTCTTTGTAAACAGGAAGAAGAATCGGAAATGACGCATATTGCGGCTTAAGGTTGTCCGTACGTCCAGACGCTAACTGTGCGTCGCTGTTTACATTGGGCTATTGCCAATTAAAATTCCATGTATACAGAAGTAACTCTCTCTGCTCACGCATGTGAAACGGGTCATTCTGAATGTTTCAGAAACCCAAATAGTGACCTTAACCCGAATATTGACCGCTTGTAAATGTAGTCGATGATCTAAAACTCCCTGCAGTTTGCAAACCACTTATCACTGACATTGAAACACCTTGTTTATATGTTGGATACATCCATTGTTCTCTCCAGTATATATATATATTATGTCTGTGATTGAGTCACTGTTGTGTTCCCTCAGGCCCAGGCGGTCACGCTCACGGTGGCTCAGGCCTTCAGAGTGGCCTTCGAGTTCTGGGAGGTTTCCAAAGAAGGTACAGTGTTTCATATCTCTCCTCAAAACAACATGGAGGTCATGTACAACTGCAGAGAATCATATGCCACAAGTGGGAAATAATTTGTCACTTCTTGTTTTGAAGGATTTGCAGATTTTGCTCTCTTGATAGGGTCTTCAAGGGCATTGACGATGTTGTGATTGATAATGGCAGTCAGAACATTGCTCTGTTGCCTTTTCTTGTTGTCGAAAAGATGGATGCACACAAAATTATGTACTTTTTTGTATTTGGAAAACATGAGCCAGTTAATTCATCACCTTCCAAAGAAATCCTAGCATATTTTGTACTTGTCACACAATTTTAGAATCTTTGTATAGGGACGTCCCGCCATCTTGAAGGAATAGAAAATGCTAAATGCGAAATATTCCTATCATGCTTGAGCGATGCTGTGCAGTTGGATGCGATCACATACGTGATTGTACAAAAGGAATATGTTTATTCCAAAAGCTGATCTTGTATTTTATTTGACACTTTTTATAAATTGTCAGAAACACAGGTTGAGACAACAATCTCAATGGCAGTTCATCAAACTACAGTGACAGTCTGTACTCTGATAGTTACAAATTTAAAAAAAATAATACACATAATATTTCGTTTTTCTTGATCAAATTAATTTACAATACTTAATCTTGTTGGTAATTTTGACTTGTGTTTTTCCTTATAAACTCAGTTTAAAAATGATTAAAGGTAGGCCTACTATAATTTGGTGATTAAAAATACATTGATCAACCTTTGCGGTGATGATCGAAAAATCCGTCCCCGCTGAAGTCCAAATCAAAGAGTTGCTGACCCATCCGGACTCGTGATACCGATAGCCTGCTAAGCTTTTGTATGCTTTTAATGAAGCTCCAGTGTAGCGTGATGGGAAGTGAATAACGGTAGCTGAAATGTCACCGAACTCAATGTCAGGAAGTTTTTCTACACATTTAATGCCTGTAAAAAGAACTTATGGTGCTAATTCCTTTTATCTTCCTCTTGTATTGGCTATTTCTTTTTGTGATGCTAATAATAAATGCGTTGACATGACGTGACGAGTTAGCTGACAGCCATTATCAGCTAATAATAGATAGTGGTGGAGGGAAAAAAATCGATTCTGTTCAGACTTTTCAGTATCGAGATATTTTGTGCACACAATTAAGTATTGCAATATTTCGGCTAATTTAAATAATTATTATATATGTGTACTACAGTATTGATATACTTGTGTAAATACACTTGTATATTATAACTAGAAAAAAAGTTTGAGACAAACTTTAAGTTGGCTTGAGAAAGCTAGACCTGAGAGTTTGAAGAAGTTTAAAGTAGTTTGACGTTTGATAGATGGATTAGTTAGAAAGAAAGAAAGAAAACGATTGGTTAGAAAGGCAATATTATTTAGAGATAGATAGATAGATTGTAAATACACTTATATATTATAATTATTTTTATAATTAGCCTAAATATTCCAATACTTTACGCCAGGGGTTCTCAACTCCAGTCCTCGCGACCCACTGCTCTGCATATTGTGTATGTCTCCCTTATTTAACACACCTGATTCAGATCCTCAGCTCGTTAGGATAGCTGTAGAGTCTATCTTAACGAGCTGAGGATCTGAATCAGGTGTGTTAAGTAAGGGAGACATACACAATATGCAGAGCAGTGGGTCGCGAGGACTGGAGTTGAGAACCCCTGCTTTACGCTACAGTATTGATATAATTGTATAAAAACAAAGTATTGCAATATTTAGGCTAATTATAAGTATAAATATTATTTATAATACTGAAAATATATATTACTCAAGTAGCTGATGTATCTATTCCGTCAAAATGTCTGACACGTGGCTAGGGGTCGTGTGACTGGGAGATCCCTATTTAACGCAAAGAACTTGAAGTGCTCGGTGAAAGCACCAAGAAAAGTCATTTTATTTGTTTGAATTTATGTGAATTTCTTTTATTTGTTAAAGCAGGATTATTCATGATGTACTGTTGCTCTGCTTTCAGAGAGAGAGCAGAGTGTGAAATGGGATTCAGCTGGAGAAACGTCCGACCGTTCACAGTCCGAGGGATCGGTCAGCCTGAAAGGAGGAGGTGCTGACTCTTTGAACTCTCTTTGCCTCCTTTTCCATTTGTTTTTTGAGAAACTATTCCTTTTACACTTCAATATTAATGGGCTGCAATATTTTTTAGCTGTAGCTGGAGAGAACCTGTTGGACATCGAGGTTTACTCATCTGCTGTGGAAAACGTGGACAACCCCACCGAACCAAACAACAACACCACCTACACCACCCAATGGGTACGATATTGTCCACTTATAAACGTATTTTTCTCTCATGAGTGACCGCTGACCATCTTAATGAACATATCCTAAACTGATCCTCATTTCAAAGTCCACATATCATTTTTTTCTCCTCTTTTTAGGAGACTGATGAAGGTCTAGAAGAGGCTTTTTCAAGGTATGAGGCACCCAGAGCTGTTCTTGTCTCCTCTTTCAAGCTTCTGTTTCATCTGAATCTCCTTTCTATCTGTCTTAAGTGAGGGACAGGAATCCTTGAGAAGGGATCTGCATGTAAAAAGCATGCTGATAAACTCTCGCACATTCAAACGATCTCCAATTACGATCGTTCTGTGTTTGTTCTTAAAGATTGTTGGAACCATTTGAAATGTTCCTATCGTTTGCTCCGCATAACTTCTTGGGCTTTGATTAATCATCCAGAGCAATTGTGCAAAGGCATTTTCCCCATACTGATGTCTCATGAGACGGATTGTCTCATTTTATTTGTTTATTCTCCTCGGATCCAAGCTGTACCAGTAGTTTGGCAGGGTTTAGTTGACCCTGCGAATGTAGAATTGGCCTTCAATGATTTATTTCTGATGGCATATAGATTACAAACCTAACCTGCATATTTGTGCTTTGAGTGCAAACTGATTCATGGAATGCTTGAATGTTTATGTCTACTTTTGTCCGACTTGCAATGGTTGCAATGCAGAATTAAGACTTTATTTAAATAAGAAAATACATTAACGTACTATAATAATATTATATTTGTAGAACTGATCACATGAATTAGAATTAAATAAAATAAATGTGGATCTAATGCATGTAAATAAATAATAAAATGATACTAGATGATAATTCTGGTCTACTACTACTGCTAATAATAATAATTATTATTATTGGTACTCATTTATTACTTAGTATTTCTTTAAATCTTGCATCAGAGGAAATTGTGTTGTCTGAGGGATATTTTTCAGTTTAATTGAAGAGCTTCTATATTGAGTAGCATCATGTTCAGGGTTGAAGTAGCTAATTTAGCCTCTCACGTCTTCTAAGAAATGAATGTCGAGATTAATCAAATTCAGCTAGATTGGCTGATTAATGCATTGTCACCATCATCAGAAAAGAATTGGGACCAGAGCAACATCCTGTAGCTCTCAAGCCCTTGATTGTTGTGCTCTCTCTTTGTTCCTAGCTGCAGTTTGGATAGCTATGAGTACTCTCCAGGTAACAAGTCCAGGTCAAGTCCTGTACCAAACGTCCACCCAAGCCATATCTGTCAGTCTGTAACATCATCCCCCTCCCCTGTTGTCTTCCAGAACCCTGTCAACTTTCACTGATCACCTCAACTAAATTAGCATCTGTCCTGGCCTGGTATTGACCTAACAGTCTGATCTAATTGTGAATTTGACGGCGGGGTTCTGCAATGATCCATATTTGAATGCAATTTACCAGTCAGATCTTTTTCTAGCATTAGTATAAGGCTCGTTTTCCTCAATATCCCATCATCCTCAGCCTAGCAAGTTTGTCTGTTATTTGTTTCAGTTTGTCTTTTTCATCCTGTTTGTTTTTATCCCTGAATTTTAATGTTTTGCATGGCTTTTAACCTTACAAATGAGACCATACCAATTATTAGCATAGTAAATAACATAGTAATCAACCAAAAGTGGCTTTTTAATAAAATTTTCGGCACATGTGGGCAATTTCAGCATTATGGATGTGACTAAATCGGGTTTTATTTATTTTATTCCATGCATGAAATTGCCCATATGTTAATCAACTGTAGAGTTTCAGGTTGTTGTTGTTTTTGATTTCTCAGTTTTGCATTGTTCCGTCTCTTTCCACATAGACTCGCTGAGTCTCGTACTAACCCCCAGGTCCTGGACATTGGGGTGATGCCTCAGGACTGGAACTCTGAGACCGAATGGGACAAGACCAATGGAAACGCACCAAACACCGATGAGCTCTCCAGCCTCTGAGCACAGATAGGTATGTTGGAGAAAGAAGGAATCTGGTGGCGCACTGGTCCTTCACATCGTGATCATCTGGTCAGCACACCAAAGCAATAGCAGACGAGTCTATTTTTGCAAAAAAAAAAACAACTAAAAACAAAACAAAAAAAGTATCTTACCCGAGTTTACATGCTTTATTTTTATCAATCGAATTGTATACAGAATAATGTATGTAGATGCCAGAGTCAGTATTGGTTTCATGTGTGAAAAGAAATGTATCATTTGACATGTAGCATCATGCCTATTCAGGTGCACTGTAGGGTTGCTTTAAAGTCTAACTCTATAGTTTGCTGCTTTGAAATTAATTTATCACCATAATGCTCTTCATTAATGATGAAACGGAAATCAGTACAGCATGTCATTAACGTCTTTTGAGTCATATTTCAGTATTTACATGTGTATATTTCTTTATTTAATCAGGATTGTGTGATTGTTATAACACCCCAAGGGGACATTTAATATTTCTATGAAGTCTAATAAAAGTGTTAATATTATCATTTATGCTGACTTATGGATATTTTATTATTATAATTATTATTTATGAATATGTGATTATCTATAACATTTTATAATTACTAAATTATATAGTCCTATACCATCTCCTTTTTTTATTCACCAGAAGATGGCAGCATTGCCTTGTCAATTTGTCTGGCTTTTCATCTCCCTTTTAGTCCTTTGTGTGCATGTTGTTGTTGTTTTTTTTATGCATTGGTGAATTTTTCACATTTTTCTATATTTGTCCCAGATGGCACAAAATGCACTTGACACATGTGGAGCACCCGCAGCAGTGTCTGTTTGAAATGCCTCTGGAGAGATGTGCCATCTTTACTTTACCGAAACACAATCAGCATGAGAAATCCCTAGACTCCTCATGTATGACAGTTATTATGGCCTAGATGGCAATATATTGGATTGAGGATTTACAGAAACCTCAGACCTGTAAATCATATCCCAAGAAAGTCTTACTGCGAGCTCCCTGGGTAGCAATTCGTTTTATTATAGCATATAATATTGTCAATTTCTGTAACCCATAAGAAAGCTTACAGTACATGTGACGTGTTTTTTTGGACATCATGGATAGTTTGACCGATAACAGCTTATAGAATTGAACCCAACTGGTTTACTTGCTTATGGTTGTGTGTATTTGTTGCATACATGTGTGGAGTCAGGTGTGCATGTGGGTTGAAGCGTGTGACGCAAAGTGCTCCAGAGAACCCTTGACGCACATACACTTCAACAAAAACGCGCTTAAAAAACGCGTGGGAGGCTCAGAGCTTCAAAAAGCCGGTTCGCCTCTTCTCCCCTCACGCATGCTGTGTTTTCTCCCTGAGGACTTTCCCTCAAACTTCATTTGCATTCATCCTAACGAAGCATTGAAATGATGTGAAATGTTCACATATGATACATTTCTCTCTTTTTCTGTCTCTTGTCTATATATAGGTGAATTGTGGGTGAAATGCCATCGATTTTGCCAAGGTCTCTAGTTCAGAACGGATGAGGCTCACGCTTTACGGCCAGTAAAAATAGATTAAACCAAAAGGGCTGAAAGTCCAGGGCGCACAGGCATCTGTATTCACAGGGCCGCTGTCTGTGGCTGATGGGTTTTGCTTACACTAAAACACACCAAGGTTGAACAAGACGGATGGGTTTGATCACAGTGAGTCAGTTGAGAATGTGCGGCCCATTACTTTTTACGTTATTTTTTACCTTAGAAGCCGTCTTTTATAGTTCACTGCTCAGTTCCTCTGTAATTTCAATCTAACTGCTATCCTTTGGGTACTTTTGATCTGAAAGGTTCCTGCTGAAGGTACACCGTGTGGATATTTCTCTCCATTTAGCTAGTTTTCTGTAGCGTTGTCTTAGCTGGGCTGCATAGTGAATTTGTTTCAATTACCATAAAACATTTTTAAGTGTTATTACTTAATTATACTGTTACTTAACAGTGGAAAGGCGGCTTAAGATTGCCAGATTGGGCCTCGTTTCTGTAATTCTAATCAAGGGGGTAATCCATCAGCCGGAAGTTGAAGCCTCGCGGGAGCCGCCATTGTAGCAGAACTTCACCTGCTGTTTTCATTCCAATGACTTCCATTCACTTTGACAGCGAATAACTTTACATCTGAGGCGGAGAAAGACTCCATTTGTCCATTATTTATTTCTAAAGAAACCTGACAATGTATAAAAGGCTTCATTATCTTATGTTATGGCATTGTAGAATCAGTTTTTGTAAAAATAGACTAACGATTGCGTCATAACGAATCGACACTTCGTCGTACAGTTGAGAAATTGCCGTATAGACGGGAGGAAAAGCTCGCTGGCAATCGGAAGGACGTAGAGGCATAAAGTCTGCTAAAGTCAAGGGAGAAGCCCATGGAGCCTCATAAAGTTAAAAATACTCACTCTCTCCATCTCGGAAGGGAATTATTCAGATTTCACTCAGCACAGCTACTAGAAGACATATGACACGTGACAGGCTCAGTTTGAAATTGTATATGCAAAACATGCAAAATCCGATTAGTGAATCAGTTTCTAAAATCGTTGTCTCGTTTCTGAGAAATTTTTTTTTTTTATTAAAGTTTGGCTTCTAGTACACTTCGCTATAGAACAGGTAAAAACACTGGCTGAGATTCTACCGGAAATACGTCAGCAGCGTTCATGCATAGAGCCTATTCCACTTCCAACCTGTAGGGCGACAAAGAGGAAAAGTTCCTTGGTGTTTCTTTAACTGTCGGTGGCGCACATCTGCCTTGTTTATAGTTTAACTCTTTTTATTAGTTCATTTAACTCTTAGTATTTATAGGCTGTGTGTGCGAATGGAAGAAATTTAAAGAACTTCAAATATTGTACAATATAACTCTTTCTAGAAAATATAAATTATTTGATAATGTTTTTTTAACACAATTTACAGTTCAAATTTGAAAAATAAAATAAAAGGTAACGCTTTATTTTGATAGTCCACTTTAGACATTCTACTAGCTATAAGTAACTTTCCAACGACATGTCAACTAACTGTCATTAGAGTATTTAGTAGACTGTCTGCTTAATATCTGCTAACACTTTATTTTTGTTGGTCCCCCAACAGACATTCAACTGACTAGAAGTAACTTGGAAACTACAAGTAAACTTATTCTCCTAACCCAAAGCCTAACACCTAACCATAACCTACTGACAGTCTACTATAATATACTAATACTCTAATGAGAGTTACTTGATATGTTGTTGAAAAGTTACTTATAATTAGTAGAATGTCTAAAGTGACTATCGAAATAAAGTGTAACCAAATAAAATATAACAATTTCTTACTAAAATAAAAATGCATTGTTCACAATTTATCTTTGAGAATTCATTTGAAAGATGTGTAAAATAAAATAAAACTTTCACAAAAAAAATAGTTTCTTCGTAATATAAAATCAATGCTAATAATAAAAAAATGTTCTCAATTGATAATGGGGAAAAAAGTGACAAATATTTACTGAAAATATGCATTTAATAAATTATATAGAGCAGTGAGTTGCCAAATGTACACCAATGGGTCTCTAAAGATGAAGAAGAAAACAAAGAATCGGACACTTATTTGAAAATACATGATTATTTATTTTTTGTGGTAGTACATAATTAGACATTTATCTATTTTATGCCCATATAAATTGTATAATTCTGTGTAGAACAGCAGAAACATGCTAGCCCTCATGAAGCATTGTTCAAGAACAACAGTTAACAGACTCGATGAATTACATGAAACATTCCTTCTGTTTTGAAATCCATGCGTTATAGTAAATATGTGGAATGAATGTTCTCGTCACGTTCATTATGCACCACTTTAACTCCAGCTGTCACGTCTACTGACTTCATCTTGCTTATTTTAGGTTCTTTAAGGCATGTTCTCGCTGCTTTGCCTTCAGTAGACCTCCAGGATGCTTTACTGGAAAAGCTATGTTGCCACAACACAGAACTATGTACAAGAAATGCTAATTCAAAACACTCTTAATGTAGCATAATCTTAACCTTGACACCTTTTTTAACCTTATCATATGTGCCTATGCTGTGGAATGAGTGAAGGGATGAAATCTGAGCATGATTTCAAATAGACTGTCAATACACATGTCCATACACAGGCCAATGCATTGATTCACAAAAGCTTAACATAAGCATTAACACACTGTATCACTTGTACTCAAGGCTGTTTGTTCCTCATCATGGCAGCGCTAAAAGAAATGGTAACTAACGTGGGGCCTATTTTTGTTTCTGATTTTAAACCGGGACTGAACTTTTTATGATGAACTATTTATTCTCAGTCTTCAAAGACGCTTGTGATGCTTCAAATGTAAATTTGAAGAGAGATTGTTCACCCAAAATGATGAAAGAATTATGGCTTTCATTCTTATGCAAAACATAAATATTTAGATTTTGAGGTAAAATATGACTCTGGCAGGTTATTAAATAGGTTAGGGAGAAAGTCCCCAAAATATATTGTCTGTGTTCTGCAGAAAAAATGAAGCCATTTGAGTAAATGATGAGACAAGTTTCATTTTGGGGTGAAATTTCTCTTGAAGACATTTGCTACAACTTTTGCTCCCTTTGTTTACAAGAGTTTGTGAATCAAATGGATGATTTTAATAAACTTGTAAACTTATACTTAGATACAAATCAATCAAGTATATTTTTGTTTGTCAGCTAGTAAATCCTGACCAATAAACTTTCTACTCCACAATAAGAGAAATATATTAAGCTATATATTTAGCATTTAGAGTATACCAGCTATGCTGTTATTGAATATAATTGGTTCTTAAAGTGATAGTTCACCCAAAAATGTCAATTATTTATTTAATTAACAGACTCTTGCTGATTCAAACCCATATGACATTCTTTCTTGTTTAGAAAAACAACAAAAAGACCTAGCAGAATATCCAAGCTGCTTGTTTCCATACATTCCCCATCCTCTTTAATTATTTTGAAAAGGCAGTTAGGAAATTCTGATAATTTTTATTTTCAACTAATATGGGTTTGGAACTAAATAAGGGTGAGTAAATGATGGCATAATTTGAACTATCCCCTTGAAAGTACATGTCAAGCATCTCGGATTAGCTGAGCTGTTTGTGTGTTTTAGTCGACGTCATTAGACGAGAATCAGAAGCCCGTCCAGCTTTTCTAACTGATTACACGCACAGGACCACAGAATGTGATTACATTTCCTAAATCTCTCCAACTGTGCAGCCTGCAAAAGCTCTCCCAAGTGTCACTAACTGGAGAATTATTCTCTTCAATGAGTAGCAAATGAGCTGCCTCTCTTACGTCTAGACGTTTGCTCTCCTTCTATGGAGATTTCTCTTTGAAAGGGCTTTAGAGGTAAAGAATAGGATAAGCTTGGATTGCGGGAGGGGAATACATTGCTCATTCTGAAATCATTTCAAACTGCTCGTGTGAAATGTGGATCCTGATCATATGACACTGTCATAAGAGTCGACTGCTGGCTTTCATATGTAAGCTGATTTGTATGATTATGGCTGTGTTCAGAAGAGCATGTTGATTTTCGGAAGATTTTGAAGGTCATTATTCACCCGAAAATCATTCGAAATACATATGAAATAAGAAATGAATCTTTCATGGCCGTCAATATTTCCTTCCAGCTCAAAATTCTGATTCTGATCCCAATTACTTCCTGATGTATTATAATTTTAATTTAACATAGGAATAATTAATTAATAATTAAAGGCAGTATAAAAGATACTACCATTATTTACACTACCATTCAAAAGTTTAGGTTGGTAAGATTTTTAAAAAATATTTTTTAATGAAGTCAGTTAAAACTGTACAGACAAAAATACAGTTAAACTGTAATATTGTCAAATATTACAAATGAAAAAAAAAACATTATTTGAATGTATTTTAAAATGTAATATAGTGCTGATTTGCCGCTCAAAAAGAAACATTTCTTATATTATCAATGTTGAAAACAGTTGTGCTGCTTCATATTTTTGTAGAAACCAAAACCAAGTTTTTTTGTTTTTTTTTTAGTTTTTTGTTTTAAATCTTCCTAACACTTAATATTGAACGGTAGCATTCAATTTATTTTTTTGTAATTCGTTCATTTTATTCACATTTGGGGGTAAATGTGCTTAATTTAAAGGAAACCCTTTTAAAAATAGGTTAAATATTTCTTTCTTTAGATTTCGTGGGTAAAATACAACCCAGACATGTTCAACACAGTGTAAACACTGCAAGGAAAAAAAGAATTGATCTTCCATTTCCAGTGTGACGAATGAACCGAATGTGATTTTTAACATCTCATTCTTCACTATTTGAAACAGACATATTTTCCATAAATTGGAAAGCAAGCAGTAAGTGCAGTAAGCAGTACACTAGAATTCCCCTCTAAACACAGCCCACATCTGTTCATTGTGGCACTTGTGTCTATTTCGCGTGAAATTATCATTATAATCTGAATGAAAGTGCTGCCAGTTAATACAGGACACAAAACCTCAGTACGTGTCTGAACAGAAAACACGTTGCCGGTCCTCGCTGGTTTAAGCCAGTCCTCACACCCAACCTTCTGTTCTTCTGCGTAAGCCGCTCAGAAAGAATATTGATATGAGCCATTTTTCACCCAGCAGTCTGCCTGAGCTCTCTTCCCCATGGCCAAGGTTAATTAGCAGTCATTAAAGAAGAAATATATGCTTTCCCCCTCTGGCCGGAATGAAAAACGAAGGTGCGAATGACTCGTAGATGGCTGTGGAGTGAGAGGACAGTCTGTTAGGCTGTCACCATGGTGACAGAGATGAGGAGGTAATGGTCACCAATGCGGAATTTTTTAATTGTTCCGAGTTACCTTCAGGTGGCTTTCAACTTGATTAATGGTGCAATCCATCCCAACATTGAGAGCTTCTGAATATGAGTGGCGAGCCAACCAGGAGCCTCATGTCCTCAGAGTATTAGAAGTCTTAACTTTGCTTTTACATTCTTCTGTGCGTTTGAAAAATGAGATGGGTCCGTTTCAATACCACTGCTCATTGTGTACCCACATAGGTTGGTTTTAAGAATAACACGGGAGGTTTTGTTCTTCAGATCAGATACTAACAGTCTAATTCACGTCCTTGAAAATGCGTACTGTCAGTAACCTCATTAAAGTCGAACTGTTGCAGTGTCATTGTATTGAACTCGGATCATGTAGAATCCCAAATGACCGATGGCTGAGGGAATCAATGTTTTCTAGACCTCTGAACTCCATTCCCACTCTTCATTCCTGACACACGAGGACTTGTTCAGTTTAGACTAGCCAATAAAGACGATATAGACCATCAGACAAATCTGGTCTTGCTTATAGTTTGCTTAAACTGTCAGAAAGAACACTTCTTATAATTCTAGATTAGAAGGAATTTAAAGTCAACATGAGACAGGGCCATGTTACTTTTTTTTAAAGTGACCTCTGTTGATGAAAATGACATGAAAACTGCTGCAGAATTTTACCAATGCACCAATAATGATTTTGGAGGGGAAAAAATCAACTCTGTAATGTTGGTGAGTGAACAACTTGATCTGTGTGAGTGAAAGGGGTAAACTGAAACTTGGTTGGCTTTGTATCTAACAATTCTGACTTTTTTTCTTTTTTTCCTTTTTTTGCTGAATTGCGAGATATTAACTTGCAATTGCGAGTAATAGTCAAAATTGTTGAATATAAACTTGCAATTGCGAGTTATAAAGTTATAATTGGAACTTTTATTTTTTGGAAATTGGAATAAAAAAATCCGGATCAACAACAACAAAAAAAAATATATATATATATATTTTTTTAGAGTACTGAATATTACGTGGAAGAAGATAAAAGATATGGTAGTGATGAATTAAGAACTCATTTCCACAAAATAAATTAATTTGTGGGCATATTATACTAATTTGTTCCCTTTGTCTTTATTTAATTAAACTGTGAACATGATTGAACTAAAAGCAAGGAAACTAATTAATAATTTAATTAAATTTAATTCATGGCCAGTACTGTACATCTTTTCCCCTCTCATGTAATGTGCGACGCTACATAAAAATTTACATTGAAGGCGACATGTTAAAGAAGATATTGAACCCGAGGAAAAAATGAAGGATGGGACAATCTGAATTGGTTGCAAAATCAATGGTCTTCATTTATAACTTGTTTCTTCTTCCCTGTTTGAATAATAGAGGAATCATTCATGATAAAACATAAGAAAGATGTAGTATGAAAGTAAATAGGGTCAATTTTAATTTCATGTTGACTTTAAGACTAAAACTTTTGAAAGGGACGGTAATCCAGAAAAGCCTGTGGGGAAAAAGGCACCCAACTCTATATCTTAGCGGCACGTAAAAGCGGTAAATAGCCGAACTCATGCCGAATATGCTATTGAATGTATTGTGAAGACCAAAATAGTCATCGCTGTACAGTAATGTGCTCATTAGAGACGACAAGCTGTTGATTTACTTGAGACAAACAAGCGATTAAATAGGTTTTCTATCACTATTATAATATGGAGCTCTTCATCAATCTCTGATGTGCAGTTCGGTCTGAACATTGTGAGCCGCAGGTGGGTGAATCTGATCTGGTCCATCGTTTTCCCATGGATGTTTTCCTGAATTCCCTGAGAGCAAGAGTGCTGAGAAGAAAGATCCTACCGCACCAATTACACCACATCAAATTAGACGGTGCGTGATTGGCTGCTGGAAGGCGGATAGTGGAGAAAAGAAAACAAAACAAATCTAGGTGTGAAAAAAAAAAGAACCAAATACAAGAGATAGTGACAAGTATGGAGAGATAGTGACAAGTATGGAGAGATAGTGGAGTGAAATATCCTGGTTCAGAGCTGATGATGACGGTGAGATCGTGAAAAAGGAAGAGCATTTTTCAAACACAGCTTCCTGGTTTATTTAAGGTTTATACGTGGTGGCAGGTTTCTCCTCGTCTCTGTGAGCCTACACAGGAGCCAAAGACACTCCTGGTGGCATGACGTCTCTGGTCTTCCAGCTCACAGCAGGGTTTGAGTCCTTCAGTTGAGGCAGCTGTAGATCGAAACTCAACAACTCGCTTCAAACGGCTGAGCCGTTCAAACTTCCAGCATTGCAGTTCTGGAACCATCCTGTCCATTTCATCCTCAAGTTTGTCTCAATGTCCCAAACAGACAAGCACCAAAGAGTTCATGTTGGTCGATGGGAATACTTAAAGGTTGTTTGATTGAGGATGAGAGGTGGGCTTCACAACTTTGTGATTTGATGGCTTACTTGTTTTTTCTCGGAGCACTTTTGGGAAGATGAAACAAAATGAGAGTTAAAAGACACAAAGATTTGCATTTCCTCAAGGAATTACTACTAGTGCTTGCAAGGCAGCAAAATAACAATGTTCAAGTTTTAGGCTACAAACAGGAATCAATACGCACAATCTGTCCCAAAATCTAGTAAACTGCCTACACAGCCTGCATTTTAAGGCACCATACACTTGAAACTAAAGGTTCAAAAGGTGATTTTCGCTGTAAAAAAACGATTTTGTTGTTTTGTGAAGAACATTTTAATTATCTAAAGAACCTTTTCCCATTACTACTTGTGGAAATGAAAGGTTTAATGGATGTTAAAGATTCATCATGGAACAATCAATGTTGGTCTACGCAAATGCAGTTCTAAAAGGTATAGGTAAAAGGTAACAGAATTATATTAGCATTGCATGTATCATTTGTAAAGAAGGCAATCCCATAATGCTTTGTGACTGATGAGCAGTCCTACAAATCCAAAATGCCAAACAAAGAGAAAGTATGTCAATTAAATATATATATATATATATATATATATATATATTTAAAATTAACTATTTAATTAACTATTTAATTTAATCCTATTTATGTATTTTTACTAGATTATAATGCCGTTAGTTTAGCAACATGCTAACATCAAATTCTACTGAATTCAACTGTGATGCTACATACCACTTCGCCAACTTATACTTCACCCTAGAAGTATGTACATGTAATGGATGTAGGCCAGTAAGATCTGTGCGTGTAAACCTCATTCCCCTGGCCTCAAGAGGTCTCCCTCCTCCCACATCTTCCATGTTTGTAGTTTTTATATTCGTGTTTGTAGTTCTGAACCAAATATTCCTCCAAATCACAATGGGTTGTGGGCAATATTAGCCATTAGAGTGTGCATGGATCCACACTTCGAAAATCTGCCAGAAATTGTAGACCTGGATCTGGAAAATATTGTCACACTCTTTTCAACATGCCATGCTTTATGGCACACTTATTTTAGTCTTGCATACTATTTAGGATGTCACATTGTGACCGGTATAGTCAAGTTTCTTATGTGCGTCACATGAGAATTGCTATTTGTATTACTTACAGATTTGCTGTCTATGAAGAAAAGTCACGTATTAGGTAGCATTTCAGTTAGCATGCTGCTATAAAATGTATAAGCAGTGAGGAAGCTAACTAGCTTTTGGAACAGAGCCACTTTGTTAAAATAATTAAATGCTGTATATGCCAGTAAGACAGAATCATTCAAAAATTGCAATTCATAATGCAAATTGATGTGAGGAAGATGACCACTTACAGTTAGGTATGCAAATGTTGATGACATCATCATTGTTGGTAACATTTTCAATGGGAGTTTTTCAAACTTGAATTCTAAACTAAAAACTTATATATTAATTATAGTAAATTAACGCATACACTACTATTTAAAAGTTTGTGTTAAGTAAATTATTATAACAAGTCTCTTATGCTCACCAAAGATGCAATTTGTTTAAGTATGAATGGTTTATGGTAAAAACAGTCATATTTTAATTATTATGACATTTTAAAATAAATGTTTTCTTTTTGATTATATTTTAAAATGTAATTAATTCCTGTGTTTTTCACTATCCTTACCTTAATGATCCTTAGAAATCATTCAAATATGCTGATTTGGTGGAAACATTTTCTATTATTATTAGTTTCTGTGGAAACCATAATACATTTCTTTCAGGATTATTTTACATACAACAGTTCAGCATTTATTTAAAACAGAAATCGTTTGTAACATTATAAACATCTTTTAATAAAAAAAACTCTTACTAACCTTTTGAATGGTAGTGTACATTGTAGAATATATTATTTAGAAGAAAAAAAAGTAATAAAAAAAAAGGATGGCACACATGAGACTGAATGTACAGTATCCGGTGTTTGGTTTAGCGGATTAGAACACACCTGAACTAGATTGAGAAATGTCAATACAGCGCTGCCTTGCAAGTACTTAACATTTTCCCATGTGTTTTTAACCATTAGAAAAGCAAACAATGAAACCTATCTTAAATACTACGAAAACAACAAAAGACAATAAGGTGGTATGTTACACTTTTGATTAAGTCACACAATCAACCAACATACCTGTCCTGAGGCTAAAGCCTATTATTGCCGCCAGGGGAAGGCTGAATTAGACCTTGCTGCGCAGTAGTCCCCCCGTAGGGTGCTCTGGGGTACTGCACTCTGAAGAGTTCTTGGCTTTGTCCTTGTTATTGTTGGGCTCGTTGTCTTTGATGATGTCATACTGGCGGCAGAACAGAGCTATCACACCTGTGCACAAATAAAAGAGGATTTGGAGAGTTGAGGATAGGACGGAAGAGTGGAGGTGATGGATGAGACATTGTCGAAAGAAGGAAAGGAAAAAATGAAATGATGGATTGCAGCATGATTCTGCCCAAAATAATAACATACAAATTATAGCTGGACTTGAACAGGATGATGAGCTGCACTGCGGCCTCGAGGTGAAATTGTGCTAGTACTGTCCTGTCTGATGATTTATTCCCTCTTCTTCTAAAATACTTGATGTGGATTATAAAAAGATAAGGAAAGCCTCTATAAGACCTAATCATAACTTTATATAAGCTCTTGTCTTTTCTCCACTCTAGCATGGACCACATTTATGACCACAGACTAGAGATCTTAAACATTTAATGACAATTTTATCAAAACCCATTATTTGCAAATGTAGACGTGAAGAGTTAGAAATGTCATTAACTAAATTTAAATGTTTTATATACATACACACACTCACGCATACAATATTTAAAAGTTATTCAACTTTATTCTAATATATATATATATATATATATATATATAGTTACAAACTTGTATTGATATCTGAATGTTTATGAACTACTGATACGTAAAGCATTATATAATCTTAATGACTTTAACATTAATGACTTCTTAAGAATAAGTGTAAGAAAGTAATTATAAGTGTTACTGTGACTTAAATCAAATGGGAATCACAAAAACATTCCTCACTTTGATCATAAAAAAACCCAATAAGAGCAAGAACTTTAAAAAAAAAAACTTGGTAATGGTAATATTTATAGTTTTTATAATTTTTAATTATAGAATTAATAATTTCAGAATATTTGTTAGAATATTATTTGAATATATTTATATTAAATATATTAAAAATATCTAATATATATATATATAATATCTAATATAAAGTATATAATAAAGCTTTCTAAAAGCATGTAATATAAACAGTATATACAGTGATGCTTGAAAATATGTGAACCCCTTCCAGAAAATGTGAATAATTTTAACAAAATAGCAGGGATCATACAAAATGCATGTTATTTTTATTAGTTCTGTCCTGAATAAGATAATTTACATAAAATAGGCTACATATAGTCTACAAGAAATAGCTGAATTTATAAAAATGAACCCGTTCAACAGTTTACACTTCATTCTTAATACTCATTATCTGGATGATCCACAACTGTTTTTTTTTTTTTTTTTTTTTGATGGTTGTTCTTGAGTCTTTTGTTTGTCCTGAGCAGTTAAACTGCCCAATGTTCATCAGAAAAAATCATTTTGGTCCTCCAAATTCTTCAGTTGTCCGGCATCTTTTGTATATCCGAACCCTCAGTGACTGTGTGATTTTGAGATCCATCTTTTCACACGAGGACAATTGAGGAAATCAAACACAACTATAAAAAAAAGTTTATACATTCACTGATGCTCCAGAAGGAAACACGATGCATGGAAACTTTCTGAATTTGAAGACCAAGATAAATTATACTTAATTTGCCTTCCGGGAAACATGCAAGTATCTTTTGTTGCTTCTGAAGGGCCACACAAATAAAAAATAAAAAAACTTAATAAGAAAAATGAATACATCCTATCCTGTTTTTATAGTAATACAAATTATTGTATTGCCTTGTGGACTATACTGTATGTAAACATATTTTATGTAAAATATTGTAATAAGGATAGAACTAAATAAAAAATAGCCTGCATTTTGTATGATCCCTCTTATTTTGTTAAAATTATTCACATTTTCACAGATTCTGCAGGTTGACAAATTTTCAAGTATCACTATTTATAGAAATGGGAGGCTAGAAATTCACATTGACTTTTCCACATTTGTGTGAATGTAGCCAATGTGAATCTGTCTAGTCAACATTTGGTCAAACTGTTTGATCACTGGTCACATTCTGACCTGCCCACATGACGAGAACCACCACAATGATAATGATCTCTCCAGCCCTGAGCTGGGCGGCCTGGCCAACCTCCTCCATGGTCACTTCATCTGTGTGGATTCAAACAAACACAGTTCATTGACTCATATAGTCAGAAAACAAGCACACTTCTGCAGTTATCAAAGTGACAACACGCAAAACCACAGTAGAAAACCATTTTCAAGGGTTCTTTTCTTTAATTAGCCTCAAGAGGATATAAGCAAACCATATTCTCTGCCTCAGATATATTTATTATTTGTTTCATCTCAAAAAAAAAATCCCAATTCAATTCTTAAAAACCAAGTCAAAGCGGATGACTGTGAGGATCACTTTAGGGTTGAGCTCTCCTCTCACTGGGAGAAGACCTCAGGGGTCACTTTCCTAGCTGGAGATTTAAAGTGTCTTCTAATTAAAGCTTGTTATGTAAAAGAAACTGTATAGGGCCTCTCTGGTCTGTGTTCACTGATTAACCGCAGAGGGAAAAGCCAAGTTCTTCAACGTCCAGCTTATCTAAAGGAGTTGTGCTTCATAATGACTGCAGGCAGAAGTTACACTCTTCTTTCTTTGAAGAAAAACTCGATACCCTTTAGGTGAAACTGAATGTTATTGGATGTCTCAGGCGTTTGAGTGCAGGAGAAAGGTTGAGGCATTTTTCAGCTCACCATCAACATCAATACATGTCGTGAGTCCAGTAGAATAAAAAAAAACACGAAAGCCACCCTGAAGCGATGGAGAGGGGAGCCCAGCGGAGAGAAAGATTTAACTGTCTGTGTTTATTAGCTCTGGTATTTAGTGAAGTGTGATGGTGATCACTTAATTAGAGTGTAACATGAGCACTAATGCCTGATGATTAAACTGTTTTTTGCAAATGCTCTTGCTATCTAACTGACACATGCGTCAGCTAAAAATTAGCCATCTGTAAATTCTGTGCTGCGTGCGCCTAGGCACATTTCTACCCCTGATCCATCACAAATGGCATTAGTGCAGAGTTAACAGATTTAAGATGAATCCTGAAAAAGAGAACTTTAAACCTTAATGAATATGACACTAGAGTGTCCTTTAAATACAATAGATTAAGCTACAGGCCAGATAGTCATTTTTACTTTTACTGTGAGTCCCAAAAGTATATATAAGAAAATATATAAAATTAAAAAAATATATATAAAAAAAATATTACAAATATATATAATGTTATATATATAATAATAATATAATATACTAATTTTATATATATAGATAGAAGACTATATGATCTAGAAATAGTTCAGAATATACTGTAACATATTTCGGTGACACTTTACAATAAGGTTTCATTTGTTAACATTAACATGACTAACTATGAGCAATATTTTTGTAATTGTAATTTGTTCATCTTTGTTTACATTAGTTAATATAAATACAGGTGTTCATTGTTTCTTCGTGTTACTTCACAGTGCATTAACTAATTAACAAATAATTATTTAATTTTAATTTGTAAATTTGGATTTATCAATGTACTAATGAACTATTGTAATTAAATAATTTTAACTAATGAAACCTTATTGTAAATTGTTACTTTACCAAATTACATTTTTCAATTATTCAGGTTTAAATTAGATTTTTTTTAACCCCACTGTATTTTATACTGTATAATGTTTAACAATATTTTAATATTGTACTATTTTGAGTGACATAAACATGAAATGTTGCTTAGTTGTCAAAATCAATATCTGGAGAGCATGGCCCATACACAAAGTATAATTACATATCATTATGATTTATTTTTTCTTTTCTTTTTTTGAAGAAGAATTGAATACTTTTATTCTGCAAGAATAAAAAGTAAAGAAAATAAAGACATTTATAATGTTACAAAAGATTATTATTTCAAATAAATCCTGCACTTTTGAACGCTCTAAACATCAAAGAAAAAAAATGGATCACGGTTTTCACGCAACACGTATAATAATGAGAAGTGTTTCTTGAGGAGAAAATAAGCATATTAGAAGGATTTCTGAAGGATCATGTGACACTGAAGAGTGAAAAAATTATGCTGAAAATATTCCAACACAGGAATAAATTACATTTGGACAAATGGACAACAGTTATTTTAAATTGTAAAAATATTTCACAATATTACTGTTTTTTTTTTACTGTATTTTGCCTTGTTGAGAATGAGACTTCTTTCAAAACATTAAAAAAAAAATCTTTTGAACAGTAAATGAGTTAAATGTATCACTTATTTTTCACACTTTTTTATGAGAACCATTCTTTGAAACTAAATCATTATTTTTTTTTCCCCAAAAGCATTGATGTGTAAGATTTGACATTTTACGAATGTCTGAGGTTATACCTCCTCAAAACTCCTGCACTGACTCTAACCTGCACAACTGATGGTTTGACACTAAATGTCATCAACACGGTCCAGTGCCAAGGACTGACACTCACCCATAAAATAGCAAGTGTTTCAGGAACACAATCCTCCCCGGCAGATGTTTGTCCAAGTAAGTAGGTCAGCGAAATGGATTACACAACATGAAAATTGGCTGTATTGTGTGTTGCTCTAGATAAGACAAGCTCCTTAAGAAAATGCATTGGTAAAATGCACAAAAGTGAGCACTTCATGCCCTGAATTATGACACAACACCATTTTTAGAGCGGTTGTATAACCACCTCCCTGCTGTGGCTTTTTTTCCCTCTACAGAAATGATTTGACAGTTTAGTCATCTTTCAAACGAATCTATTTTTTCAACAAAGATATCAGTATTGTATCTCTGTTTATAATAGTTTATATAAGCTAAATTAAGCTAAAGATTCTGTCATCGTGTATCACGTTGAATATGTGCTGCTTTCCTTCTTTCTTTCTTGAAACATTAAGGAGACTTGTTTTAGCATGCTAGTCAGTTTTTAATACAATTGTAATAAATGGATACTGGAGATTTCAAGCTTCAAAAATCACCATAGAAATGTTTGAAAGGGTTATTCACTTCTGCTGAAAATTTACTCACCCCCATGTCATCCAAGATGTCCATGTCTTTCTTTCTTCAGTTGTTTTGATGAAAACATTCCAGGATTTTCTCCATATAATGGACTTCAATGGGGTCCAACAGTTTCATGGTCCAAATGAGAGTTTCAGTGCAGCTTCAAAGAGCTTGATGAATTAGGGTCTAATCTAGTTTTAAACTCGTTCATCAAAATGAACTAATCTTTTTTCAACGAACAAAATGAACGAAATGACTCGAATAAAGAACAGGAGTCACGAACGCTCATCACAGAACAAGGTGAGCATTTGTGCTTATAAAACACTTTTTTAATTTATTTTTGAAATGACCGATCGTTTCGCTAGATAAGACCCTTATTCATCGTCTGGTGTCGTTTAAAGCCCTTTGAAGCTGCACTGAAACTCTCATTTGGACCTTGAACCGTTTGGTTCCCATTGAAGTCCATTATATGGACAAAAATCTTGTAATGTTTTCATCCAAAACATTAATTTCTTTGAACTAATCCTTTAAAAATGTGGTTCATACATTCGTAAAGTTTGAATCATTCAGACCAGTTTTGTGAATTTGATCAATCTATTTACTGTAAGATATTACCTAAAAGGAATGATCTGTTCGTGAATCAGACTTTGCAATTCGTCCACTCAACACAACCACAGCTGACGTCAAAATTTTCAGTCAATAATGAAGTGAATTTCATCTCTATTCCAGTTTTTTTCTCTAGTATTCTCAGTACCAGTACTCCTCTGAACAATTTTAAACTTTTTATTTCAGCATTTCACATGTTACTGCCTCCCTGAATCGGTGAATCGGTTTGTTTTATTCCTTATTTGTAAGTCACTTTGGATAAAAGCATCAGTGGAATAGTGCATGAGGAATTTAACTAGCCTACTTTTAAGAATATTTTTGAGCTATACATTTTTCACTTTTATTATACTCACCAACATATTATTCCTAAAAGAAAAAAAAAAGAAAAACTTCTGTTTTTCCACAGAACGTTGTACAGTAGTCGTACAGATTTGGAACGACATGAGGGTAAGTAAATTATGACATAATTAATGGTCCTGCAAGATATAATGTTGACATTACAAGAAATTACATTGTGAATATGCGAAATAAATTTGCAGTTGCAATATGTTAACTCTTTATGATTCTTTTACTTTAAGTGCTTTAGTACTTTAAGAAGCAGTTTCCAAAATAATCCTCTGAAGTGCTTCAAAACATATTATGGGACTATTATGTTATTATGGATTATTTTGTCCAAAAATATGAATTTGGTAGTTACCTGGGCTTTTTGAGGCCAGTTTCTCTGACTCTTTGGGAGTGCGGAAGAGAACAGGTTCACTCGGGGGGCTGGTGCCGCTCATGCTAATGGACTGCACATGCACAATGTACTCTGTGTCTTCCTCCAAGTCCCATAATGCACATGAACGAGTGGTGGTGTTCACTTCCTGGATGAATCGCAGCATACGAACGTCCTTCTTCTATAAAAATCAAAATTAGAAAGAAATAATCCAAGGATAAACGTGGTTGATTCCACACACATCTAAGTCAACATGAAATCAAAATTCATCCTATTAACTTTTTCAAATGCATGTTCCTGGTCTAATTGTGATTAATTCATCAGTCTATGTTATTCCAGAGATAAAAACAGTTCATTGTAATATATAATCAGTATGTAATATTTTGCTCTGTGTCTACAACAACTTTCCTCTTTGGTTGACGTCACCAAGTCCTCTTATTTTCACCACTCCGTCCAGGTGTCATGGGGAGAGTGGCTTTAACAAAGCGCACGACGATGGAGAGTTCACAATAGTCCTTTTATTAAACAAAATCCAAGAGAAACACGCAGGAGAATAACTAGGAAATAGCTAAGGAGTAGTTCACTTTTGAAAAAACTTTTGCTGATAATTTACTCACCCCCATGTCATCCAAGATGTCCATGTCTTTCTTTCTTCAGTCGAAAAGAAATTAGTATTTACTCACCCTCATGTTGGGTCAATCAAACAGATCTCATTCCCCATTGACTTCCATAGTGAGAAAAAATACATACTATGGTAGTCAATGGGGAATGAGATCTGTTTGATTAAAACATTCTTCCAAATATCTTCCTTTGTGTTCAGCAGAACAAATAAACACATCGAGGTTTGGAACAACATGAAGGTGAGTAAATACTGACAGAATTTTCATTTTTGGGTGAATTAACCCAAAAAAATTTTATAAGCTCAAATGGTCGCCTTGCTCTGTTCTGTGATGCATGTTTTACTCTCCTGTTCAAACTCTTTTTTCATCACAATGAGCAATTTTTTTTCCGAGTCATTTGGTTCATTCAACGAACGAAACGAATGAATTCACTCAGAAAAAGATTCATTCATTTTGATATACGAGTTCGAACAGGAGAGTCACGAACACGCATCACAGAACAGAGCAAGGCGACCATTTGAGCTTATAAAACTTAAACTTTGTTATTTATTTATTTATTAAATGAGCGATCATTTCGCTCGATAAGACACGTATTCATCGTCTGGAATCGTTTAAAACCCTTTGAAAAGTTTGAGGTTTGTACTGAAACTGTCTTTTGGACCTTTGAAGTCCATTATATGGAGAAAAATCCTGGAATGTTTTCATCAAAAACCTTAATTTCTTCTCGACTGAAGAAAGAAAGACATGGACATCTTGGATGACAAGGGGCTGAGTAAATTATCAGCAAAAGTTTTTTTCAAAAGTGAACTACTCCTTTAAAACCACAACGCAACACATAACCCCAAACGAGACTGAACACTGAACAGAAAGAACTCAGGGCTTAAATACATGGGGAGAGGGAATCAGCAAAACAGAACACAGCCAGATGGGAACAGGGAAAATAACAACAAAACACAACTTAACATGACCCTGACATTACACCACCCCTCCGGAAAGGCGCATACTCGCAACGTAACTATAATTAATAGTCCAACTCAGGTACGAAAGACCAAGGTGGTGATGACGGTGGATGGAGCAGGAGGACCCAGACCAAAGCCAATGCGAAGGCCCATGGCGTCGACAGATTTTGGGGTGATAGAGGAAACTCAGAAGGTTTAACGGTTGGAATCGATGGAGGTGAAGAACCAGGTGGAGCCAAAGAGCCAATGGGACAAAGTAACACCGATGGCTCTGAAGACCTAGGTGGAGCCACAGCGACGAGCTGGAGGACTAAGGTTGAGCCGGTAAGACTGAGGACCAGCGGAGCCATAAGCGAAGTGTGGAGGGACAAAGTCCGTGGCATAGGCAGAGTGACGACTGACCAAGGCGGAGCCTGAGAGACAAGGGAGCCCGGTGGAGCCACAAGGATGACGGTCCTAGGTGGAGCCGAGAGAGAGAGCCAACTGGTCGACGAGCCAAGGTGGACTGATGCGCTCTGTGTCTGAAGGCGGAGCCAGGGAATTCTCTTGGTTAAGTGGAGCTGGTGACCGGAAGATCTGGGGGCGTCCTCCTCTATCCTCTCGAGGAAAACCAACACCAGGTAGGCATGCATTACACCGCACATTTAAGCTTACTCAAAAAATACACACAGGGAGCAGTCAAGGAAATTGGTAAGGCACGGCAGGTCTAGAAAGTCATTGGCATGGTCCTCGAGATTGTTATTACTTTGCTCTGAACAGAGAAGGCAAACGGTCTTCTGGCAAGGGGTGTGTGGCACACAATGACTAGTTCACATTAGTCCTTTATTCAACAAAATCCAAGAGAAACATGCAGGAAAATAACTAACTTACAACCACAACACATAAATGCAAACGAGACCAAACACTGAACAGAACGAACTCAGAGCTTAAATATATGGGGAGAGATAATCAGCAAAACAGAAATAGCTGAGTGTGACTAATTAACAAACAAGGAAACTAATAGGAAAACAGAACACAGGCAAACAAGAACAGGGAGAATAAAAACAAAACACAAGAAATTAAATATAACCCTGACACCAAGCTATATTTCTTTATTTTTGAAACATAAAAATTGGTAATTATAGCCATGTAACATTCCATTATTTTTAACATTTAATGGAAAAAAATCGGGTTTTGCTTTAGAAAATAATCACTTTTGTGTTCTATGCATTTAATAACTTCAAATTACATAAATAAATTAGTAGCAAACTTCACCCCCAATAGAATCTCATGAATCTCCAGATTTCCACTCTGTTTGTGCATGTATCTTTCACCGTTTTACTCAGAAAATGAGAGAAAGGAAAATAGATCCTATCCAATATATTTCCACTTCAAAGCTTATAAAGCATGCCACTTTTCTGTAAAGCAGAAAATTAATTTTCACGCAAAATAAATGGCAAAAAAAAAAAAACAGTTAAAAATGAACACCTGACTGAAAAATATATGTGATTATCTCTCCTTTTGATACAGCATCAATATCAAAAATGAATAGTACTTTGTATGTATCTTGGGAAAAAAAGATATCACATGGTGTTTAATGTTTACTTAAATAATGTTTTATACACTAAAGACCCGCATAGATGATGTCATTGTCAGAACAGATTTATAGTGTGCACTAATAAACAGTGATATCACTGCAACTCTTAGCGAAATCATCCCATAGTTGTGATAAGAGGCATGAGAAATTCATGAGGAGATAAAATTAACACACACACACACACTGCAGAAACTCTGTCTTGCTCATTGGTGACAAGCTGTAATGGCTTTGTACTCCAGCAGATGGTCACTGCAGTCCTTATTACTGAGGTCTCCACAGTGACTGCTTTCCTCAAATCTGCACACACACACACACACACTAATGCATGCACGCATAAAACATTTACAGAAAGATCAAGGCCACCTAAAATATCAACAGCATGTGCCTTTGAAGAGAAAGCAGACCAGTCTACATTGACACATAACCAACATGCTTACACAAGCATGCCTCCATGATATTGCCTCATTAAACTTGAGTTATGAGGTGATTTCCCCCTGTTTTGCACATGTAAGGATTTGAAATGGACCATAAACTGGTTCAGTACCTGCTGGGTGATGGCAAACCCAATGACTGGGTCTCCCTCTAGAATCTCCCATGTCACTATCGCTGAGTTCCCCTCCAGTGCTTTGATGGTCACATTGAGCGGAGCAGATAAACTGTCTGAGGAGACACACACAAAAAAAGACATAAAGGGATAAAAGGTACTGATGTGACATACTCCAAGACCTCTCTCATTTTATAGTCCCTCATTTATGCACAAGAACATTAAGGCCACAGAAAATGCGAGTGTTTGCTGAATTACGCTTTGTGCTTGCGTGTAATGTTGTGTGTACTGTGCAACAGAAAAGATCATTCTTGTTCTTTTTCCTAATGAAACTTAAAAGGATTGTCTAAAAGATAATGGTTATTTTGTTTCAACTCCTCACTGTGTATTATGACAATAATAAATGAATTGGACCAGTCACAGTCATTGGTGATAATAAATGATTTTGAATAACCATTTTATTTAATAATTTAACATAAACTGCAGGGATATATATACACATAGATATATACAGTGTGTATATATATATATATATATATATATATATATATGAAGAGTTCAGATACAAAAGCCTCTAAATGCCATTTGAAATTTTCTTCTTTAATGATGATTTTTATCAATCTTGTATATTTAAGTTTAGTAATTTCACTTAAATAACAATTAATAGGTAATTATCATTGCCATTTAAGTGAAATCACTGAACTTAAATATACAAGCTTGATAAAAATGATCATTCTAGAAGAAAATTTCAAATGGCATTTAGAGGCTTTTGCATCTGAACTCTTCATATATATATATATATATATATATATATATATATATATATATATATATATATAACTGAACTAGAGCCCGACCGATAAAGGATTTTGAAGGCCGATACCGATGCAAATATTTGTTGGTTTTTAAATCCGATATTCCGATATATCGGCCGTTTTTTTTTTTTCTCAGAAACGCGCAACAAAACATTAACAGATTTCCCTAACATTAGTTATTTGAAGTTATTTATGAGTTTTTACTAAAATTATATGATAATGCATTTTAAAAAGAAAAATTGTTTCTGTTATTGTCACAACAGAACAGAGGAACATAAAAATTGATTAAAGTTCTGATAAATAAAATAATAATTAGACCCTACATTGCCTTATAAGCTACCTGCAACCTGGATCAGCAGGTTAGATGTGTGGCGCGTTATACACGAGTGTTGCCAACAGGGATGGTGTAGAGTGCCCTCTGGTGGACAAACTATACAACTCCAACACTCATGACATGGTTGAAGCATGTTTCGTCCGTTTTTATTTTATTTTTTAAATCGGCCATTATAACTGCCGATACCGATAGTTTGGAAAATCCCTAATATCGGCCTGCCGATAAATCGGTTTGGCTCTAATCTGAACTGACTGACCTGCAGCCAATGAGATTGCTTGCTCTCAACATTTAAATATTCTGGCTCAATGTTTTCAGTAAGCTGGTCCTGCATGCCATCAGAGTTTTCTACTTCCCCCAGCTCGAGCTGCCTTGATCTGATACATGATTTTTGTATGCCAATCATACAACGGTAGCGCATGTTACATGCTCACAGCATTGCAGATGCACATGCATATAGTTGTGCAGAAATTGCTTGCTTATTTTTTTGTACACATACTTTAGCAAACCAACAACTACTGGCTGTAATATTACCCGTACAACTTATCTACAGTTCATAAGACGTCACAGAAAATGCATTTCTTCAGCAAAACCCTCTTGGTTGTCTTTGGTGGTTATGATGTTAGTATGAAATTATTTACCTGACAAATGATTCATTCTGTCTCGGTTAACATCTTTATGTCATTCTCTAGCTATTTTGTCTAATACTGAACTGAAAAGTGCGGTTTGGCTAATGGAAATGCACTGATGTTCAGCTCCATGTTTGCTCTAGATCAATATTTCCACTGCTCTTTACTTTTATTTACTGTGTGGTAGCTCTTAGATTGCTATCTGAACCAGCCTCTTTGTCTTTGATGGTCATCAAACAAAGAAAATGGCCTGGCACAGCGTAGAGTACACAAAGCCAGCCGCTGTTTGGTCATTGGGCATTTTGTTCATGAATTAAATGGAAATGTTTTGCAGCGAAGATGTCATGAAGTTGTGTTGTGTGTCATCACTTGTCAGAATGATAATATGGCGTTGCTTAAATCGGTGCATGAAGATCTAATCATCAGTAATGTTTGTTGACTACAGAGTGAAATGGTTGTCTGGTTAACGTCATCCATCACAATGTAACAAATTCACACCCTGCAGATGGGAAATTGTGTATTTAAAGGGGATGACAGACAGAGAAAGCCAGTCATCCCTGAGGACACAATATGTTTCCCACTGGGCAGGATGTGTTTGGAACAGTTGTATATTACACTTTAAATAGGGGAGGAATGCAACTTGCATTAAGAAACATATAACTTGGCTGTGGGGTGCTCATTCGCATCCCAGAATTCATGGTTCAAAAAATCTTGTTGTGCAAAAGGTTAGTTCACTTCAAAATTTCTATTTAAACATGAAAATATACAAATAAAAGATCATTAAAAATATTAAATAATATATCACTGGTCTTTTGAAGTCAGAAAATAGTGTAAGGAACTGACCAATATTTAAATCACTTACAGTGATGCTAAGTTTGAATATCCATAAAGCATGAATATAGTGCATAAAGTCGTATGAACCACTTTTATTTACTTTATTTGGGGTCTAATTTTAAGCTCCGGGTGACTCATTTTGGTTTCCATGGAAGAAAGGCATTAGGGTTTGGAATGACATGAGGGTTAAGTTTCATATTTGGGCAACTATTCCTTTAAATGTGTTTCAAGAAAATATATTCAAGCCTTTTGTAGGTTGACCGTGAGAGTATTTGTGGAAGAAAAAAAAAATGGTAAAAATCATTATTATTCTATTCAGTATAACTCAAGTTACACATTCCACCTTTAATGAATGGATGTGTTTTATAATGTGCCTTTTATTTGGATAATTTCCAAAAGTCTTCAACACCAGCGCTTCACCTAATTAAGCCTTTTAACCCTCTGGGGTTGTTCGGCCCAAATGGACCCGAAGAATTGAATTTTTTTTTTTTTTTAAATCACAGCTTCCTCGGAATGGTCTGAAATTTGGTGACTTTGTTGGTATTTGCTATTTGAACACCCAAAAAAAGTGGGGACAGGATGTGAATAGTCTAAGTGGTTGTAAAAAAAATAGTCACACTTGGGGGTGTTCGGGTCCAAATGGACCCACATGGAAAATGAATGGGAAATTGGCAAAAATGTGAAAATACTGAGTTTTTTTGTGCGTACAATCTACAAATCAGCCACAATCTTGAAAAAAAAGCACACAACAGTGAAGGGGTGAATCTATAAAACCTCAAATGTGCAAAACACACACATCCATTCCAGACACACACACACACACACACACAAACAAACAAACTAACACACTTTTATAAACAAACACACCAAAAAATTCAGATATTTTTAAAAATATTTTTTCTTTTATGTTCAATGGGGGAAAATTTTGTCATAATTATTGCATTAATACTAATTATATATTTTTTATTTTTTTTGAAATTTTCTCAAAACACCAAAAAAGAAAAGAAAAAATATTATAAAAAAAACAAGTAAAAAAAAAAAATCATGATTTTTAAATATGAATCCCAGCCTTTGGGTCCATTTGGACCCGAACACCCCGAGTGTGACCCTGAAACGAACAACCCCAGAGGGTTAACTTGAATTACTTTCTTAAAAATGAAGGTCAAGCTGCCTTGAATATATGTGTTACCACCAACTGAAGAGTTGAGGTGTCATACATGATGTTAACACATACTTAATGTTACCTCAGGACAGGCAGAAGACGTTTATTCAGTCTGTCTGAATCCCATCGGTAGCTAATGGGCTTCATGTGAATGTTCTATAGGACCGTGGCTTACAGCCAGACTCCAAACCTAAAGTGTATTAGCCTGTCGGCTGAGACAAACGTGTTTTGAATGTTTAGACGTCAAGGCATTCACTCAACCGGCAATCTTGCAATGAGCACTGCTTAGGAATACTGGCCCTTTGGAAAAGTTAATTTGATTCATTTTTCAACTAGTCACATTGAACTCATGCATATTTTCTAGTCGTCCTTGAAGGAAGCAAGAGTTTTTTGTTCTGTTGTCTTGTGTCAGAGGATTGTGCAGTCAGGCGGGCACTACATAGACCTGCAGCCCTGATTTAGAGAGCCAAGGCTATGAGGTGAATCTCTTGGCTTGGCTTGACTGCGTCCTCTGTCCCTGGACATGGCAGTCCTCGTAAATATTTAACTTAGCACCGCTGTCCCAAAGGAAGCCTCAGAGGGATATTTATCGGGGTAAGTTTTGGTCAGGAGTTGAAGCTCTGTCACAATGAAAATATAATAGCATGAAGCTATTTGATGGAGACAGAGGTTGCCATTTAGTTTCAGAGTAAATGCAAAGATTTTTTGTTTGTTTATATAAGGCCATCAAGTACTGTAGGTTTTTAAAATCAGATCATGAGTCTAAAAAAAAAGAAACTAGCAGCTTAAACCAAATGTTTCAATAATTCATTGACCTGTGTGAACATATTTCTTACCGAAGGCTACAGTAATTTAGCAAATCTCCCTTATTATGGAGAGCAAAACACTGAGCCTCTAATAAACAATTCAGTGATGACAGGAGGCAGTTTTAAATGAAGTTTATAAGCTCAGGCTGACCTCGACTGCGAATATTAAACCTTGAAGTTGAGATTAAAATCCCAGTCTGATCCACACATCCATGGCCTGTCTTGAACTCAGAGGAAGCGATGCAAACTGCTCCCCTCCAGCATCTAATAACATCTTAGCTTGGAGTCTGCACTCCACCTGAGTCTGACTGCCTCTTATTTTCAGAAATTCTTAAGTATACTCTTGTGTGAGAGTAATATCATGCAGTGAGAATCCACCATGCTAATTTTATGTAATGACCATGCGTCAGAGACAACATTATTTTGTCAAGAGGCTAACATAGCATAATCAGAAAGAGCTTAATTTTAGCATTTTCTCCAACACAATTGCATTCCATTTAGCAACACAAGTTATCCAGCTTTTAATGATATTCTAATATCGATCTAGCCAACTGCAATGGGAAACAATTGTCTCATACCAGCCACCGAGCGAATGCAGAGTAACATTATAATATAACTTTCAACACAAATGTATTTTAGCATGATTGTGTTGACCAAGTAAAACAGTGATGCGTTAGCCCACAACTTTAATTCGTCAAATAAAGTGACCCCTGTGAGTTGGGTATCGAGAATCGAGTATCGATTGGAACCGGGACTAACTTTTCGTTTTTCCCGGAATCGTTCAAAAGTTAAAATTTCGATTCCTAGTTTCGATATTCACAGTCCGCCGAGCGGAAGAAGAAACCGCTGAACAACACCAACGAAGAAGCATCTGCCGGAAATGTTGGCATAACCGCGCGAGTCGAACATGAGTAGCTTACGCCGGCGGTCCAAAGTGTGGCTTCACTTTTCTAAAAATTAACGAAATCTCGGCAAAATGCAAAATTTGTGACAAGTATTTGTGACAGAAGGATTATTTCCTTCAGAAAGACCGTTGGTTAGCAAGGTTAGCTAAACTTTTTTGACCCTGCCTCTTAAAAGAATCGGAATCGAGAATCGTTAGGAACCGGAATCGAAACAAAGAATTGGAATCAGAATCGTTCAAATTCAAACGATACCCAACCCTACCTGTGACTGTGAGTGATAAGTCAGTACTTGAACAGTTGCATTATTTCATTAGAACTAGATAAAATAATGTGAATTTAAGTGATCAAACGTAACTAACAAAGATCAAGTTCAGGGAAGGAGAAGCATTAAAGGAGCGGCATGTCATGATATCATGCTTTATAGTTCCAGTATTTGGCTCTAGGTTTCTCAAGCCATATTTATTTTTTATTTTTTTGGTTTCTATTTTTATAGATGTTTTATTATGCCTTTCTCTGTTTGTAGTTTCAGTTATTTATTCCTAGTATTTCTTTATCATTTTCTAATGTCAGTGAAATTAGTGTAGTCCCAGTGCTGAGTCAGTTTTTATTTTTGTTTTGCTTTTTCTTGTTGTTGTCTCTTGTTATCTTGTTGTGTCTGATCCTGTCCTCCATCCAGACAGTGAGACTGATACAGCATCCTCTGCCTGATCTCCAGTCATTATCTGGAGCTTTTCCATCTCCTCAATTTTTCTCCTTTTGACTCCCCTTTCCTACTATTTGGATCATCCTCAACTTTAACCATCCATATTGTGCCTTGTCAATCAAATTCAATCCCTTGGTCATTCTGCATCTGGGTCGTCTTTCTCCATAAGACTGCTGTGAGACAACCTGACACGGCAGTGGCCGACTGCGCCATATAAGCATATTAAAAACTGTTCATTTACCTTTCATCAAATCAAAGAAATCCTGGAAAAAAAAAATATCAACCTGTTTTCAACATAGATGAACATTATTAATAATAGAGCACCAATAATAACTGAAAATTATTGAGCACCAAATCCGCAATGATTAGGAGCATAAAAGATAAAAACATTAAGAAGTCTCTTTTTTTTTCAGTTTTTTTGCTTTGTAATTACAGTGTATGGAGTGCAGATTGATGCGAGAAAGAAAAAAGTAATTTAAAGCAGTTTAGTGTAAGGCAGCAACATAAACATAATTTCCCAATATAAACAGCTTTGAGTCTGAGCTGAGTACCATAATGTATTAATATCCTGTGCACCAAATACTGCATCACAGCTCTAAACCAATGAGCAATTCAGGCTTCATGCACCTCACTAAAATACACTTAAAGGGTTAGTTCACCCAAAAATGAAAATTCTGTCAGTATTTACTCATCCTCATGTTGTTCCAACCCCGTAAGACCTTCGTTCATCTTTTGGAACGCAAATTAAGATATTTAAGATATTAAGATCGCTCCTGCATACTAGTCCATAGGCTTCTTGAGGGAATGACTTGCTGTCCTCGAAAAGTCATTAAAGACATCGTTAAAATAGTCCAAGTGACTACAGGTGCTCAATCTTAAGTTTATCAAACGACGAGAACACTTTTTGTGCGCAAAAACAACAAAAATAACTACTTTATTTCAACTATTCGTTTATTTCTCCCTCTGCGCGAGTCAGGTTACTAGTTTAATAGCATAAGCTTCTGTTATTGTACGTCACACGCATCACACACACATGACCAGCGTCGACCAATAGTGAGTCTATGTGTGACGTAGCTTTACGCAATCACACTACGTTAACTGACTACAGGCCCATGGAGAAGGAAGTAAATAGTTGAAATAAAGTCGCTATTTTTGTTTGTTTTTGCGCACAAAAAGTGTTCTCGTCGCTTGATAAAGTTAAAATTGAGCCACTGTAGTCACTTGGACTATTTTAACGATGTTTTTGATGACTTTTCGATGCCAGCAATAGTCATTCCCTCAAGAAGCCTATGGACTGTATGCAGGAGCGATCTTAATATCTTAAATATCTTAATTTGTGTTCCGAAGATGAACGAAGGTCTTACGGGGTTGGAACAACATGAGGGTGAGTAAATACTGACAGAATTTTCATTTTTGGGTGAACTAACCCTTTAAGACAAATAACAAATAATATACTAAATTCTAGTCCTTGCCTATTTGGGGGCTTTTGTCAATTAAATATTATTGTGATTAATTAATCAATTTTTTGCCATTAAAATCTTTCATTGTCTGACATCCCTAGATTAATATATCAAACACAGAATCTCAAGAGTGATAAATGATAGATTTGCTCTAATATGCAATGCATAGCCCCACTAAACAACATCTCATTACATATTCGCAATGTCCTCCCATAGCTTTGATGAGATGCCTGACACTGTCAGATGAAACAAACATGCGAGAGGAGCGAGGAACTCCGCGTTGCACATTGCGTGGGCATCTCTGCCTTTCATCACAAGCGTCATGACAAAATACAACAGGCCTGTAATAAGACTAAACCGTCATGCAGCCTTAAAGTTGATCAGTTATTCTCCGACATGTTTGTTTCACCTGCTTCCTCTTGCTTCTCTGTATTAGAAAGGGTGTTTGAAACCGTGTTCTTTTCATAATGGTGTGGAAATGTCACTGGCTCTCTTCATTAATATTCCTCCGTCCTGCATCACTGCCAATACCTCAGTATAAAGATGTATGGACAGAGGCTTTGTTGCTTCTCTAGACAACATAAAAGAGAAAAGCAGAGTTCGATGTGCTTTATTAGTGTCTGTTTGTGTGTGTTGTGAGCTGTGGATGTCTATTACTGGTAATCTGTACATAATGTTACACATTAGCAGCTCAGAACAGCACAGTAATCATGTAGCACACGCTGTGCTCTTATTTCAACAAGATATATGGATTGGCCATATCACTTCACAGCATCTCTTTTGATAAAAGAGCCTTTGTTGTGTATTTCTACGCTATTGTAATTTTCAGAATGTCGAAACAAGTGCTAGTGCTACTGATGTGAAATAGACTGTTCTAGCAGACTGCCCTCCTTTACCAAACAACTGATATTGAATAAACTCACAGGTGACTTCCTCTCGAAAACCATGCATTTCAAGTCACCATGAAATCAAAAATGAGTATTTTATATGGAATATTGCAATGTTTATTATTAATGCTTTAACCGTGCACATCATCATTTTTTTATGTGCCCTCGTAAAATCTATCTACAATCACAATAATAGTGCATATTTGGTGTTACATCCACATAAAGCAAGCAGCATGACATCTAGCAAATTCTGGGTAATTTAAAATTACTGCTGATACTTTTCACTTTTAGCATTTTTAGGTGTCAGGTGATCCACTCATTTTTATTTAACCACAAAAAAACAACAACAGAAGTTTAACTTAAAACACACACGCCATATGTGAATCAAACTGCTTAAAACTTACTCATTAGAACCAGTTATTTTGAATATTTAAATGTACAAGATGAATGGCCATTAATTGTGGTAGCCACTGGTTTACATTTGACATAGAAAAGTATTGGCACTTTTACTTATCTCAGGTTTCATATTGAGAAACTGAATTATACAGCACCTTTAAAAAGGTAAATTATCATTGTAAATCATTTCCAAGCGGTTTAGTCTCAGCTATCCAACAAATTACATCTTAGACAATCTGATATTGCCTGCATGCATTTTTCGTATAACTGAAACCAGCTATTGTTTTATAGGTTTAAAAATAAATAAATAAACAGAATACCATGATTCTTAGATTGTATACAGAGAAAAACATACTAATACAAAACATTGATAGGCAATTTAATGATATATTGCTTAGAAAGGTTAAATTAATGAAGAAAGATAAATGCAAATACAATTGAAGGGGGTGAATTTGTGACCTTGACAAAGTAATCATTATTCTGCTGTAGTTATTTAGCTGTACTAGTTATCAGATCATTAGCCATTTAACGAATTAATTCAGTAGCCTCCTAATCTATGTCTCTGCATGCATCCAGACAAATGCCCTAAATCTCAAATGTGATCTATTGTGCGTTCAAACAGTAATCTCAGTCTACCGGCCAGATTTCTGTCTCTGTGAACAGAATCAATTAGGATCACATGAATTGTCCTCAGCATTTACATGCAGTCTGAATGAACAGTGGAGACCCACGAGCGTCTTGTGCTTCCCAATGAAGGGCTGAACAGGTAGTAGCGCATCATTTATTCATCTCATACCCGCAACCTGTCTGTTCTCGGGAGGGAAAAAAATGCTTTTTACTATATATATTGTTTGTAATATAAGGATAAAACAGTTGTCATTCTGTTTATTCGTGCAAAAATAGTGTGAAAGGGTTTCGTATCTTTTTCTGTCTCGCGCAAAAGCCCAATAATGACCATATATACAAATAACATTCCTGACTAAATAAATACAATCACGCAAACTTACCGGCGTTAACCGAGGAAACGGAGATATAAGCCAAAAACAATAACAGCGCAGCGCACGAGCCTTCAATTTCCCACATCCTTCAAGGAATTCTTCACATTCTGTTCGGAAGACGTTGAATCCCATTTACTCAAACGATTATTAAACTTATAAGTCGGCGTCTATGTGTTTAACGTTGACGACTGGTTGCCGTCTTTATTCCCGCATCAGTGCAGAACAGCACTGGATCTAAACTCCGTACTTGCCGCAGAAAGTCGACATGAGGAGACTGTCTGAGCTCATTGGACGACATTTGTCACTATCAACAATGAGGCATAATGTTTTCTTCCTCCAGGGGGCGCTCGGTGGCTCACAAAGCCATCATTTCTCTAAAAACGCATTCAAATTTTAGTTCATTGAGAACATTTCCAAGCTATTTTGTTTTTAAATCGATAAATTCCATATATTCTATAAATATTCTATATCTGTCATATAACGGAGGTCGGTAACAACAACAGCTGTACAAAGCCTAAATAAAATACCTTATTCTGTAATCACAAACGATTGTGATTGGCCCGTCCTCATATCGCTGAGAAAAGTAGCAGGCTCCGCGTGACAACGCTTTCCAAGTTCCAGCGGTGATCTGGATGATAATTTACACCCGAATAAAGACACTTGACGATCTTCAAAGTAGAAAAAGAATTGAAAATGAAGATTAAGGAGTACTTAGAGTATTATTTATGGGGTCTAAATAATACTCTCCAACTGAGGCTTGCTTGACTCAAATCCTGGTTGAGGCTTTAAATCAAAATTAGAACGGTATTAGCCTAGCCTATAAATAATTTATCAGTACACATCATTATATGTTTTTAACTTCATAATCTTGAATTAAAATAAATTCATTTCCCTCTAGTCTAGCAGCATCTCTTCTCCTCTCTGATGACGTGTTTGCTGACGCTAGGGCAGGAGTCGCGGGACAAAGAGTGCCGAAGTGATGACGTCACTTTGTAGGACAACTCGGAAGCTAGCGGCGCATGGGTTCCTTTGATCGAAAAGTTATGCATTTTTCCCCATAGACTTTTGGAAAATCGCACAAAATAAGAACTCTGTGTTTAACAAAGAGTTGTGACCCTTACACGTTTTGTCTATCAAGATAATATTCAAGACTTTAGAGCAGGGCCGTGCAGAGACCTCTGGAGGGGCAGGTGCTCAAAGTATAAAATGGGGCACATGGAAACAAGACTTTATAGGGCTGTGCTCAAAATATCAATACAGTAATATATATACAGCATTAATACAGCAGCAAATTAATTGATGCAGTTTTAAAAAAAGAAACAGAACAGAAAAGACAAATTTAAAGTTTAAAATTAAAAAAAAAAATAATTTATGTGCTCTATATATATAACTCTGGGATTAGAAACTGAAGCATCTTAAATTGTCCCAACCTGATGGCTTTTTCTTCTCTGTTATTCAGAATAATAAAGAACAGCTGTTATAGTGAACTGTGTAGGACAAAATCAACCTGGCCCATGTTTCGTGCAGTACAGTATAGTTTTATTTAATGGCACAGCATCTGTGTCTATTTTCATGGCAAAAAGTGATTTACAAAAATACAAGAGTTACATTTTATACAATGAAAATAAAAACAAAGCAAACAGAAACAGCAATTAATACTTTACAAGATTTTTAACATTAATGTGATGCCTGTTCTGGTAAATTCTTACTCAAGTCATTAAGTGAGTTTGCTGCCTTTGCTGTTGATGTTGTTACTGCTGCTGATGATGATGATGATACTGCTGGAGTTGATCTGAGACTGTAGACATTAAAATAAACAGAGATATAGGGTATTGGCTGATTAAACCATTTTTATGTGACCATGACAAGATGTAAAGACTGCTGACAGTGTTTGGATCTGGCTCACTAGTCCACTGACCTGCTAAAGCTACAGATTCTGCCCAGGCTGCTATAGTATAATAATACAATAATAGTATATAATAGTAACGTTACTAGGGCAGATGTTCACAGGCTTCTGCACACAAAACATAAGATACTAACTGGTAAGCCTATGCGATAACTTACCAGAGTTGTGATAATCATTTTTATGTGAAAATATTTTTTTTAATAAATACTGTAATAATAATAATAGTTTAAAGTACAAATAATAGTTTTTAGTCAAATAACACCCCTCCACGCCCGTGAAACTTTTCTCCCTCAAACAGCAAGCTAACGTTACTTCTACAGCCTACACACAGCAATACAAACAATATCTCTCTGCATGCTCTCTTCACGTCGTTCTAGTAAAATAATAATAATAAGTAAACAAACATCAAAATCACTTCGCTGAGAATAGATTAGAACACCACTTACCAGCAGCCGCAAGACTTGAAGATATCCTCTGGGAATGCGCGATTGCGCGTAGCCGCGCGAAATTATAAAATGCGCGTGCAGCGTGAGGAATCAGGTGAAAGGTCATCATGTGGGTCATTTTATTTACGGCTAAATTATTATTCATTCATTTTACTACTAGTGGGGCAGGCATCCACAAAAGTGCCTTTAAATACAAAAAAAGGAGAGGAAATTTTGTCTTGACAAAAGGGCACTTTGGGCACCAAGGGGCAAAAGGGCAGGTGCTCGAGCACCCAACGCCCCCCCCCTCTGCACGTGCCTGCTTTAGAGTGAGGGAAACGGGAGTGCTAAAATGCTAACTCACTTCTGCGTTTTGGCCGACAGAGTGACGTCGTAACTTCGGCACTCTATAGCAAACACAACAATCAAATCAATTCCCGCCCTACCTTTTTTATTTTGTTTGAGAAGCTACTATTTCACTTTCGATAGGCCTATATGTCACAATATGGAATAAAACTTCCCTTTATGTTAACAACGTCCCCAGTGCGTGGCTACATGTAATGTCCTTCCGATATATATCCTTGTTTTCGCATGGGTCCAGTTGCAGTCTCTTATTTCTGTAGCCACTGCATTTTGCGGGTAAATCTGGTGTCACTGGTGATTGTCATTTAAAGTTTCTGGATCCACCATCAAATTGATAAGTTGAATTATATCAAGTACTGTGAGATAAGGGCATAAATCTCCACCTCCAACATCCTCACACACAAGAGCCTACGAGCCGAGACTCCTTGTTTATGTGTACAGATGTGACGTAATGACGCAAAGACATCAAATCTCCCGCGGAAATCCACCAGTACCACTGGAATTAAAAACATTATTACAAGCTTACCACTTTGAATCAAGCTAAGACAAGCAGATATTTTTGAACACTGGTTGGTTGTGTATTTTCTCAAATATGTATTTTGGATAATTTTGAACCCAAAAAAAAATCTACGTACTGCAGCTTTAAATGCCATATTTGAACTCAGGCCTAATCCATGGTTTAGTTCAAGCCCTGTCAATGAATCCGGTCCTTAGTCCTTTCTGTTAGGATAAATGATAATCTGGGATAATCCGGCAAGACACACCTCAACCTAATTTTTCCATAGATGTTCCTTTGTAAACCCCCTCAAAGTTATTGTAGGCTATATAGTTTGCAAACTGATTGTAGACAGAAATAATGTCTGGGCTGTTAAGCTCCACCTATTTTAGGACTTCTTTTGTCATGGTGATTTCCATTCGACTCGTGTATTCCATTTCTATGTTGTAGCCAGTACCTGGGACAGCACAATGAGCGTTGCATGACAGCCTCGGCTTTAATACGCATTGACGGTTTTCGGTGTACAATATAAACAAATGCAAAACAGCTCAAGATGTGATGACTAAGGCTAAATGGATGGTCCAGTGACTGCTGATCTATAGTCATCCTTTGCAGCCCATTTAGTCTCCAAATGAAATTCAGAGTGAAAAGTGCTGGCAGTGTCTTCATCGCTCCCTCTCGCTTGTTCTTGCCAGAATGCTTACTGAGGGAAACCACTCTTCCTAAATTTGTGGAGGTCTTTCCAGCTCTCTCCTTGAACTCTCGTGCCAAGTTATGAGAAATAACCTCTACATGTCAAAAGCAGTTGCCACAGAATGACACCACTTTAAATTCACACAACGCATTTTCCATTCATCTGAAACGTTTTCTTTATTCTAATGTACAGTAGTGTTTGTCACTATGCCAAACACAAATATCTACATCTTCGTGTAAACATTAATATGCTGACTTTTACAGTTGCAATGCAGATTTTATCAGGCCTTTTTACACTTGTCATTTGGGGACTGGTAACGTTTACATGTGGGCTAACCACCTCCTTTGGGATAAATTCTGTTCATCTTGGAGGGCATTTTGTTATTTCCTTGGTTGGATAGTTGATAGTCTGGATAGTGACTAAATGTAAATCAATATTATTACCAATAATGTTGTTATTGTTAACTAAAACTATTAAAAATGGCTTTCAGCAATTAAAATAAAATTGTAATGTAATGTAAATATAAATAAGAGATTAAACTTAAAAAAAAACTTAGAATTAAACTTTTGGAAATTATGAAATAATTTAAAAAAGCCACATAAATAAAACTAATAAAAATGATAAAAGAACACAAAAAGTAAAATAAATAAATAAAAGCTCATTCAAAATAATATTAAATAGCTTATCATACTATAATATATGCGAATAATATTGAAATAACAGACCCTCACTATCTGTGATGGATGTGTTCAACACTCTCTGCTTTTAATGATTGAACGAGACATTACGAGAGGACAACATTTAGAGACAGCATGTCCCCATCAATTCTGCCATCGATGTGGGAACTTTTTGTCCATTCTCTCTTATTCCTGCCCTTGAGACAAGTAACTCTGGTACAATACGGGACATTCGTCCATCGTTGTGCCAGATACTGAAGGACTTTTTTTCAGTGTACTGAAGAAAAATCTAATGTTCAGCATTATCCTTGCCTCCTCTATCTCCTCTCTCTCTCTCTCTCTCTGAATGTGTTTATATGGCTACTTTGTGTTTAGAAGGCATCACTGGTAAACTGGAAACTTGAGAGAGATTCTGATCAAATGAGATTTTACGGTGTTTGGTTTGAACAAAAACAATTTACATAGCATTTATTGCTTATCACTTTATTGTGTCACACCAGTGTGAACTGAAGCAGGTTTTATTATTAGTCTCTAGTGGCTTGGGTCACTCTTGACCCCCAGTGAAATTTAATATAGTTGGATCATGTGCAAATGAAATTTTAAACCCGTAACACTCCATAGTACTTCTTCTGCCTATGGCTGCTGTATTATGATTATTGAGTACTATAAAGAGGCAAATAGCTCTTTTTTAAAGATCGATACATAATTAGCATTTTGATCTAACAGT